GAAATATATGCTCACAGGAACCATCTACCGTAAAACGGAACACAATTATCATTGGCTATATACGGCTGGTGCTCTTTTTGACAAACGCTGTGTTTTTCGGTGCAAGTCTGCATCATATCAAATTCAGACTTAGGACAATGGCCGACCACTATAAATGCATGAATCAAACCAAAGCCTTCTTGGAGATATCAGCTATTACTGGTACGTTTCTGGTTCTGCTTTCCCCAGGAATGGTATGGACACCTTTTAAACCATATATTACTGACCCCAAAGTAATCTTCCTTGTCGATATGGTATCGGGGTTTTGTTTTTCTGCAATCTGGTGTGTTTTGCGTTTCCGAGATTGCCGATATCAACTTCTACTTCTACCTTATGTTTTCAATCAGAAGGAACGAGAGAAAATAATGAAACTGAGGAATGAACGTTATGCTACATACCAAATCAGCAGTAGTTCAAGCTAACAAATGTCCCCAGTAGTTCTACCTACTTATTTTCAAGAACTTGAATTTATTTGTATTTTTGATTGTTGTTTGTTTGTTTAACGTTCTTTCGAAAAATTTTTCTCTCATATTGAGAGACCAATACATGTATTTGCCGATAGACCCTACACTCGGCACTTGGAGCAGTGAGAGATCTTTTTCATGCCAGCACCTATTGCGATATGGGACATCTCGGTATTCAGTCTCATTCAAAGGACCGGTCTTCACGTCCTGCAGTAGGATTCAAACATAAGAATCAACTTCATACTCTTAAGCAAATGATACATCGCAAAGAGGGCGATATGTTGCCAAATGAGTTCTAAAAATTGTACAGACATTCATGATCAGGAACAGCATTGCTGCCAGAGAAAAGATGCTAAATAGGAATGCAATGAAATTTTCTTTAAAAATTTTCTTTGCTGTGTCTTATGCCAACATTTTTTGGCTGACAAGAAATGAGTTCTAAAACATTTTCATATCATAAAATGACGAAAGATACCGTATAAATAGAAATTTTAGCGAGGATTTAATTTTGGCATTATTAGCGAGGGTGCAGACATCGCTAAAATTGAATATCGCTAAAAATTAATTGCGTATTATTTGTAATAGCTTCTTTAGTTAGCATTTTAAAATCGCTAAAATTACTTCTCGCTAAAAATAAAATACCAGATTTTAGGTAGAAATCGCTAAATTTGCGTCTCGCTAAAATTTCCACTTATACGGTTTCTGCATATGATGGTACCCTAGAAAAAACCACTTCATTTATTGTTTCGCATTTAACATGTAACATTAATCACTGGTAAGTTTAATTTTGCAACGTTTTCCATTTGAATAGGCTCTTTAATACTTGTAAACGTGCATTGATAAATTAATGCATTTTTATTACGCATCTAAGATTTAGATATCAATTGGTGATTTCAATTATGAAACTTTTTGTTTTGAAAATACTAATATGCTTCAATGCTTGAATCTAATCAATCTTAATTTAAGTTTTATCTAAGTAAGCTAGAAGCAAAGCTTTATGATAGACGTAACGACTTCAACTTTTCAATCATTAGCATCCCTTACTTATGTAGCAATATACCATATCCCTTTGTTCTAATTTTCAATAAAGTTATATTGTTAAAGATTAGAGAAAAAACTTGAAGGAAATGTTTTTGTTCCAGCTAGCACGGCTTATAACAACAGAGATTTTGTAGGCTTAATATCACAAATGTATTTTACATAATTTGACTTTAATTCTCTATTTGATAATTTATAGTTTACTTTCAAAGAATGAAATTTTTCACAATTACGTGTCAGTTTTTAATACTTTTAATACCAAAGTCCATAGAATGAATTTAAACAACAATACTGAATTTGTAATTGTCATAAAAAGGAAATGCAGGGTCTACAAAATGTTCTGTATAATTTTAAGCCGAAGCAGGCTACCGACAAAGAAATTGATGTCACAGTTTGAAAGATTATTCGTCGTCAGAATGACATATATTCAAGGTAAATCTTATTTTGTCCCCCGCTTTCGCGAAAGCGAGGGGACATTAAATCTCATTCGTCTGCCCGTCAGTCTGTCCGGCTGTCCGTCCGTCACAAAAACTTTAACCTTGCCCATAACTTTTGATTTAGTGGAGCTATGACTTTCATATTTCACATGTCCATTCCTTGTGAGAAGACCTTTCTTTGGGTTCCACCTAATTTGACCTTTTGACCTTGAAGTTTGACCCACTTTTACACAATTTTTTTAACTTTTACTTTGGCCATAACTTTTGAACAGTAGATAATAGGACTTTCATAATTCACATATGTATTCTTTGTGGGAAGACCTTTCATTGGATACCAGCAACTTTGACCTTTTAACCTTGGAGATTTCCGTATTTGTATTTATGAATTTTTTTTAACCTTGACCATTACTTTTGAACGGTAAGGGCTGGTGATTTCAAACCTCACATATGTTACTCTTGTGAAAAGACCTTTTATTTGATACCAAGAAATTTGACCTTCTGACCCTGACCTTTGAGTTTGACCTACTTTTAAAAAACAAACCTTGACCATAACTTTCGAAGGGTTAGGGCTAGGGTTTTCATACTTACATAAATACATATTTAATCCATGTGACAAGACCTTTCGTTGGATATCAAGAACTTTGACCCTCTGACCTTGACATTGGAGTTTGACCTCCTTTTTAAAAACTTTAACCTTAGTCATAACTTTTGAACGGTAAAGGCTAGAGCTTTCATACTTCACATATGCAATACTTGTGACAAGACTTTTCTTAAGAAACCAACAACTTTCACCCTTTGACCTTGGAGTTAGACCTACATGTACCTTTCAAAAACTTATCCTTGGACATAACTTTTGACCTTGACCTTCACGATTGATCTTATTCTTTTTTTAAATTCAACTTCGGTGATAATTTCTAAATGACATATGATAGGACGTTTATATTTGACACAATATGTCATAAAAATGACATCTCACCCAGAAAGACACCGAAAGCGGGGGACCGCAATTCTTTGAATTTGCTTGTTATTCTTAAAATGTTGTTCATATAAGATGCATTGTAAATTTTATTTATCTACAATAAATAAATATACCCGTGAGATTTACATTTCTTGTTTTAAAATGTGATTGTTTAAACACGATTTTCACGTAAATAATCCAAACTATAGCTTGAATACAAGTTTTTAAGAACCTCAAGATAAGTTCTAGAAAAAAAATTAACCCAGCTTTTGTTGTTTGCAAGATATATTGGATACTGAGTAGTACACATTAAGTATTAACAGGAAGTTAAATGCTTTTCATACAGCAAACGAGTCAAGGCACACATATCTTTATGAAGAATATGTCCATACATTTCTTGTAATTATTTCCTTAAAGGAAATGCAATTTAAGATTAATGCTGGAAAGACAGGAAGTGCTACTAGGTTTTTACAAAGCACATGTATATAAATTCCTCAGCAATTGTCAGTTTAAATACACACAGTTTAGGCAATAAACAATATTCTATGAGTTTATGTTTAGTTTACTGGTAAGGCATCTATCAGCTATAAAAAAAATTGACAGATTATGCAAGGCATGTTGTGTTTGAATGTGAGAAAATAAATTTTGTTCGAAACCGAACAAAATATTCATTTATAGATTCAATGCATTTGAACATATAATATTTTTTTAAAAATACCAAAAAGTTTGACACATCTGTATTATCTTTCAATTTTTAACTAGAAAAATATATTATAAAACAATTAACATAACAAAAAAAAAACTTTCATGAGCGTGATTTCAACTTTTCATTTTTAACTTGCGTATAACATCTTACCAATATATTACATACATGTAAGTCGTTGATATTTCCAAGTTGATTCAACATGCAGAAGTATGCTTTGCATACCAATAATTTCTAAAACAAAACAAGCTATCGACGAATAAGTTGATATTACAAGGATATCAAATATTCTTTTAAAGGGACATGGACATAGTTTCAACAGATTTTTTTAATAACCAATTTCAATATTTACAATTCCTAATTGAGGCTATTCAAATTATCAGCAAAGAATTGAATATCATTTGTTGATTTACAAAGGAGATACAGAACTTAAAAGTCTTCATAGTGTAAACAAGGCTCGTGCCTCGTTTTTGTTTACACGAAGAAAACATCATATTTATAACAAACAAGAATAAATGAATCACCAGAAACTGTCTAATGGTATTAAGAATTAACTTCTTTATTGAAAAAAATCTGCATATTAGTATACTCAGTATTTAACCTATGTAAACAAAAACGCGGGCCTTGTTTACATAACAAAGGTTTAGATCTCTAAATCTGTCTTGTGTCTCGACAACTGAGATTCAAGTTTTTGATTATCCTTAAAACACCTTAGTTTAGTATTTTTAAGCACAAAAAAAAAAAAAAAAATGGAAAAATAACTTTGAAAATTTTCAGCTGTAACTGTGTCAATGTCCCTTTAAAGTTGCCTTTTCACAAATATTTGTTACTTTTGTTTGACATCCCTTTCGAGAATATTCTTCCGTTCATGTTGAGAACCGACCACTTGCTACGCAACGATGCAAATTTTCTTAGCCCTACAATCAAGGTCATTAAACATGTAGGGTTCCTCCACCTTTTACCTAAAACATTGGTTTTAAATTCCCTTTTCGCTCAACTATAACATCACTTCATTTAATTTACTTAAATTACTTACTTATATATAGATCTATACATGTATATTGACCTGAATTTTGATGTTATTTAAAAATAAATTGTATATAAAATATTTATTTAGTTAATAAGGTTTACTAAAGGTCAATAAATGTCTTAAATTGTTGTTCACATTTTTTCAACAGAGGACTTCCGGTCCCACTGTTGGTATTGTTTGCCATCATGTCGACTTTGGAACAGTTAGAGGAAACAATTAACAATCGTTTAATATAAAGACGATAATTTGACATGTTGGCTTTTAAACCTGCAGCTAACTTGTCTCAAACACATAAATACGGTGGATAAAAAAACCTGGAAGTGTTACTATTATGGCAGAAAGTTTGGATACGTTAAATGATGAGATGGCATCTTCGTTTTCACCTTTGATTGCTGTCCTTGCCTTATTTCTGATCTTCGGAACTTTTGGAAACATGGTTGTGTTGTTCGTTTATGGAAACAACACAAAGAAGTTTTCTAGTGATTATTTCATCATATGCCTATCGATGCATGATTTGTTGATCACTATAATTGGAATACCAACAGAAATACTGGATCTCAGATATCCGATCATTTTCTCCCTAGTCAGTGTGTGTAAGGTACTTAAAGGCCTACAAGGGGCGTCACTGATGACGTCATCTACGATTTTACTGTCTATAACACTTGATAGGTATAAGAGGATATGTAAGTTTGGGAGAACAATGCGAAAAAGAACAACAAAATTGTTATGCATTTTATCTTATGTCATTTTAATTGTGACGGCTATCCCAGTTTTTATTGTATATGGAAAAAAAACTGTTCGGCTAGAAAGCATTAATTCAACAGGAAGTGCTTGCTCTGTTGCAGATGAATTTCGCAATTCTTCAGCGATTCTTATATACTATGGTTTTTTAATAATCTACTTCATTTGTTGTATAATTATATTTGTAACAGTGTATACCTTGATAAGATACCGCATCAAAACCTCATTCGCATCTTTAAGTCAAACGAGGAAGAAATGCAGTCAAATGTTTACAGTGACGTATGCTGTCCCTCAGGGGTCTACCTCTGATATTGATTTGCCTCAAGATTCTAATTCTGGCATAATGATAAACAGCACACCTTCTCAGAGTGATACCCACGACAACAGAAATCTGAAGAAAGATAGCCGCTCCAGCACAGGAAACGTACAACAGGAGACAAACATTGACGGCAAGAAAGACCACTATACGGCAAAAAAATTAGCACGCCGGCAAAACCACAGACTCTTTCGTGATAAAAGTAACAAGACTACTTTGATTTTTGCCTACATTACTGTCGGATTCGTTTTAAGCTTTCTACCCTTTCTGATATCAGTAATAGTAAGAGCAGCAAAGAGTGACCTAGAGGAAAGCATCAGTACCGAAATGAATGTTTTCTTTAAATTTTGCTTAAAGTCGTACTTCCTCAGCAGTGTCATTAATCCCCTCATTTACGGATTTTCAAGTCCTAGATTTAGACATGAATGCAGACGGGCTCTAAAGAAATGTTTATGAGAAAGAAATGTTTTTTAAGTCTCAAATTTCTGCATTCATTTTCAGAGTGTATCATTACAGTATATAAATAAAAAAACAGATAAAGATGAGTGCAGTTGGGTTTTTTTCCTGATTCGTCTTTAAAATACTGCCACTTTTAAAGAAGAGCTCATGTATTGATTCTGCCCGTCTATTGCACTACCGTTTTCCTCTGTCTCTTATATTGAAAGCAATAATAGTCAATTTATTTTTTACAGTATGATCAGTGGTGTCTTGCAGGCCCCAAGACCAAAAACAGAGAACAGACTAAGTCAAAATTCAAATTGATATAACTTTCAAAATAATTTAAATCAAAATAAAATTTTCATCTTATGTTTGAATTGAAGTGTTTTGCACAACTGCAATTTTTAAGCTAATATTCTGAACGAAACTGATGATATTCAAAATCAAAATTTTAACTCAAGTATGTTCTCAGTTTATGATCTTGGGGCCAGGCTTCACAAGATCATAAACTGAGAACAGACGTAAGTCAAAATTTTGATTTTGAATATCTTGAGTATCGATTAACATATTTGCCTAAAATTTGCAGTTTTGTTTATTATTTTTATTTTAAAATATTGTGAAAATTTTATTTCATTATTGAAATTATTTCAAAAGTTATATTGTTTGGAAATTTTGACTTGAAGCTGTTCTCAGGGGCCTGGAGGCCTGACTCCTGGGCCATAAAACTTAGATGAGTTCACTTTTGATCACAGTCTCACTTTTCCGCTCTATATCCCTTTGGAAAAAGTGAGATTGAGATCAAAAGTGAGTTTGTCTATGTTTTATGGCCCCATGGCCAGGTCTTCAAAAAATCTGCCGAAAGTCTCATGGGTACCAATGCAATCCGTTATTAGTAGATCTATTTTTGTATTCATATTGAAGAATAATTTATTCAAAGTCTTATACAGTCCATGTTTTTTTATATATCATCGACAGCTGCTTTTTCAATAAATATGGAACTCGTATATTAATTTACCTCGTCATTGGTCATTTGCAAAATTATTTTGTTTAAAAAAACACTCATAATTGAACACTCAAATACTCTGAAGTTAACATCAAAGAGATGGTTGAGTTTCTGATTGTCAATATCTATGTTGTTTTTGGAGACCAGATCTTCCAACAATCTATTGGAATTCCCATGGGTACCAATTACGCCCCGTTATTAGCAGACCTATTTTTGTACTCGTATTAAGCAGAATTTGTGCAAAATCTTATGCGTGAAAGGAAGAAAACTCTTGCTGTGGCCTTCAACTCGACATTTACATATATCGACGACGTATTGTCAACCAACAATGGTAATTTCCATTCCTATGTCGATACGTTATATCCTGGTAAACTTGAGATGAAAGATACCACAAAGTCTGCACATCTGTATCATATTTGGATATTTTACTTGAAAAGACCTTAATGGTATTCTAACAACGAAGCTCTATGACAAACATGATGACTAACTTTTCTATCGTCAATTTCCCTTACTTATGCAGGAATATATCTTCACCACCTTCATACGGAGTTTATATATCTCAGTTGATTCGATACGCAAAAGCATACTATAAGTATGAACAATTTCTAAAACGAGGTAAATTACTGACAAACAAATGTATGAAACAAGAATGACAGCGGTCTCGTTTAAAGTCATCATTTCACAAGTTCTATGGTCCAGGTCGATACAATGACCTTGTCAGCAATAGAAAAATTACTTCAACGTTTCAATCGTTAATTCACCTCAAATATGTAGCAATTTACCCTTTTCACCTGGTCGACCGCGTGACGCAGTGTTTTGAGCGATTGCTCTAGAATCGCAAAGTAAGGAGCTGATCTGTACGTCCAGGGTTCGAATCCCACAATGGGACGTTGAGACCGCTCCTTCGGATGAGACTGTATAAACGAAGTTCCCTGTCGCAGTAGGTGTTGGCACAAAAAAAAATCCCTCACTGCTCAATGGCCCTAAGTGCTGAGTATAGACATAATCTTGCAGTCCTCCATCGACAAGTAATGGTGTCTCCATATCCTGTTCAACCTATTGATCTTGAGTCTGACCCACACTTGAAGAATTTTTTCCAATCTTCAGCTTTGGCCGTAACTACGTACTAACTACTAACTAAATAAAAAAGACTTTTCCCGTGGCTGTCTATATAAATTTATTGTTTTATTGCCTCTCCCGACCGACTAGCTAAAAAGACGTGACTCAGAGCTTTTTAATTTTCCAAGACATGCTAACATTTCTCTGTATTCCTGATTTTTTTTTCATCTAGTCAACAAATACATAATTATGTGTTGAACTTTTCTGAAGAAAAGATGTTCCCAACACCCCACCGATGCATTTTTTTTTACCTGGAGTCGGGAGAGGGCAAAAAAATATTATTTTAAAGATTGCACTGGGTACATTTTTTTGATTTAACGTTTGTCATTAGTTTTAGTCCTCTTGACTTTAAAGTTTTAAAAACCTTTAATCATAACCATACCGGTGCATTTCTTGTGGCAGAATCTTCCCTCAACCTTGGATGTAAATAAAAAAAGAAATTTGTACACAAGAGGACATCTAATAAAGCTTTGTTAAATATAATTTATCTAATTTCTTTCCCCTTTTTTTTTTTTTACTTTTTTTTTTAAAAACATTAATGGAATTTTAAATAAAGAACACAACCTACAGAATCTTCCTCCAGATAAAGGTGAAGAAAACCCCCAGAACAAAACAGAATCCATTTGACCTTCATTCAATGACATTATGAAATGTGACACAAAATGGCTTGTTAATACTATGATAAATATCTTTGTTTTACATTCAGGAATAGATTAAATGGGGGAAATAAAACCAACAATTGAGTTGATTTTTTTTACCTTACTCAAACGGATAAAATATTTTTATATGTATTTTCTCTGAGAAAAAATTATTTTACTCCATTAATTTGTCTTCTGAGTACTTTTAAAAGAAAAAAAAAGACAAAGTCTTCCGATCAAATGCTTATAAAAGCAAGATTTGCATACCTAAAAGAGTATTAGTGTCTACTCAATTTAAAGTGTTAATCAAGAGATGCATTTTAAACGATTCGTTAAACAACTGATGTATTTTTCCATTGGACATGGATTCTATGCTGAAGGCTATGCTTGAGTAGAGAATCAAAACAGTAAAACTAAAATTTCTTGGAAAGGGCACAATAAAGAAAGCTTTACATTGTAGCATGATTGAAATGTTTCAGCAAGATGTATCTGAGGAAATACGTAAATAGATCTCCTTGATCATTCAAAGTTTGCGTGTGAAAATGAAAGTCATAGGAAGAGCTATGCTAAGGAAACTTAGGGGAGATTCATATGTTTCTCTCCAGATGCATTTTTGTAAAAATATTGAATAAGAATACTCCAACTGACTTCAAGATACATGTAAGAGTAATTGAGATCATTGCAAGTTCAATAGCTATGACAAATTTGTAAATTTTTGAAGTATTTGTGTTTTAAGGAGACCCATTCTAGTTGAAAGTTACGAAAACGAATTGATATAATTTTTTAATTCTTGGAAAGATATCTGAATGTATAATGCTAAGAAAAAATAGAATGAAATTTTGTTACCTTGTCTTTATTGTAGTGAAATGGGGGCACTTTGAAGATATGGACAATTTTTCGTGTTATTATACACAATTACATACCAAAACTCCCCAAAAAACAAAGGAATTGACTAATTGAAAAAAAAAATGATGAAATGTTTTGTTTTTCACATATATCATGCAATGTCCATTCCTCTTTTAAACAAGAAGTCTCAGATGAGGCTGTAGCTCTACTGGTCTTTACAAATAACAAAGAAAAAATAGACTGGAATTTGAAACTTTGCAACAGGCAGCAATAAATAGAATTATGTATCTGTAGTCTACTTGTATGCCAAATTATATTGAAATCAGACTAAAATTGTAGGAAGAGTAGCGTTTTAAGGAATTTCACAGACATTTCTATTTTTAGTAACCATGGCAACACTGTTCATCGAAATCAACAACAGATGCAAAGAAATGACGTGCCTGAAACGACGATGCATGAAAACGCATGCGCAGATCAAATAGATCGGGCCTCGTTAACTTACATATAATTTAGGGAATAACTATGTTCTAATTTGGTATTAGTGACTGTTAATGCTGATTTCACGGTCGCATATTGAGTTTTACCGGCGACGCGTAATTCATGGTCACACGACGAACTTGTTTTACAGAGAAATAAAAACGCCGTGTTCAAATTGTGGTATATAAAGGCAAACATTTGCTAATGTAAATATTTGTTGTTTACGTCTTGTTTTATTGAAGTTTTGTTATATGGAATACGTCAGGAAGCATTGTGTTTTTTCGTCGCTCTATTATGACGTCAAAATGAAAAGCTTTTTCTCTCGTTAATGCTCGTTTTACTGCTTCAAACATCAGTGCATTAGCCAATCAAAACGTGTTTCACAAAAGAATTGCATTTGAATTATGGGTTTCATCCAAGAGCTGGGAACAGATCTGATTAAGGAATTTTTTAAAGTTTTGTGTGCAAGTCTGTGTGATATACACATCAATGAATCACACAACATCTAAAAACCTTCCTTATATTTACATTTTACTTGTTTAAAAGCATAAAAAATATGTTCAATGTTTGAATTTCTCTGCCCTATATTATGGAACGCCATGGCTGCCTTATGTTAGATGATTTTATTATATGCTGTGGGTCTATTATTATATGCTGTGGTTCTGTAATTATATGTTGTGGGTTTGTAATTATATGCTGTGGGTCTTTCATTATATGCTGTGGTTCTATAATTATATGCTGTGGATCTATTATTATATGCTGTGGATCTATTATTATATGCTATGGGTTTGTAATTATATGCTGTTGGTCTATTATTACATGCTGTGGATCTATTATTATATGCTGCGGGTTTATAATTATATGCTGTGGGTCTATTATTAAATGCTGTGGATCTATTATTATATGCTGTGTTTGTATTATTATATGCTGTGGTTTCGTTATTATATGCTGTGGGTTCATTATTATATGCTGTGGGTTCATAATTATATGCTGTGGATCTATTATATGTTGTGGTTTCGTTATTACATCCTGTGGGTTCATTATTATATGCTGTGGGTTTATAATTATATGCTGTGGGTCTATTATCATATGCTGTGGATCTATTATTATATGTTGTGATTGTATTATTATATGCTGTTGGTTCATAATTATATGCTGTGGTTCTTTTATTATATGCTGTGGGTTCATAATTATATGCTGTGGGTGTATAATTTTATATTCTGTCGGTTTATTAGAAACTTGCTATTCGAATCTTGTTTTTGGAGTTTAGCTTGCTCAAAATGGCGGCAACTGCAACAGGCCTTTCCCTTATAGGAATGAGAATACCAAATCCCCGGATGAGCACATGGCTTTATTTGTGGTGCCACAAATAAAGCCATATCTGCTCATCCGGGGATTTGGTACTCTCATTGAGCGCTAGCAACTACGTTAGTCCAAATTCCTTGAATACGCATGCTCGTCATGCATTCTGGGAAAATTGTGAAAACTACCATAGATAGAACGTACAATAACAATTTCGTTGTATCATTAAATAACTAATTTTATTTATTGTGTAGTTTACACTTTAAAGATAACTTCATAATTGTAATACTTGAAATTTTCCCTTTTTTTGACGGAAAAGCCCGAGTCATTATGTGATTGTTTTAAACAAAGACAAGGGAGGTTTTTTGCTAGCGCGCGGCTTCACGGTGGGGCATTCTGGGAAAACTTCACACGGTCTAGCTGTCTGTGAAAACGACCATAGATAGATTGTACTTTAACAATTTCATTGTGTCATTAAGTAACACGGGTCTTTTCTGTTTGATTCTGAAGTTTGTTTATTTACAGTGTAACTTACACTTTAACGTAAACTACACAAGAAAAAACTTAGGTCATATAATGCAAAGATTCTAGACATCTAGCTTGCGAGTTCTACCGCCTTTCTGGATAATGCCGTCAACCTCATAAAAAATCTCTTTTTTTTCTTTTCAAAGTTATTAAATTGGAAAGACACAATAAGCGATTGATACAATGCACTTCCACACTAATATAATTTTAATTCTATAAAGTACACTTCACAAAAGATTATAACTCTAACCATCAGACTTCATACTCATTAAACATGAAAGACTTCAGCAAAATAAATTAGTTGATCACGGATCTTCCTTTCTGTATTAAAAAATTGCTACGGCGCTAGCTTTTTCTAAAAGATAAATTTGTTCCTATTATATATGTTAATGCCGCACATTTATAATAATAAACTCCAAAAACATGTAAGTCCTGAACGAATGGCATATTTTACAAACCCACAGAATATATAATAAACAGCATATAATTATGAACCCACAGCATATAATTATGAACCCACAGTATATCATAATGAAACCACAGCATATAATATTGAAACCACAGCATATAATATTGAAACCACGGCAGATAATAATAGATCCACAGCATATGATTATGAACCCACAGCATATAATAATGAAACCACAGCATATAATAATAGATCCACAGCATATAATATTGAAACCACAGCATATAATACTGCAACCACAGCATAAAATAATAGATCCACAGCATATAATAATAGATCCACAGCATGTAAGTATAGAACCATGGCATATAATTACAAACCCACAGCATATAATAAAAGAACAACAGCATATGATTACAAACCCACAGCATATAATTATAGAACCCACAGCATATAATTATGAAACCACAGCATATAATAATGAAACCACAGCATATAATATTGAAACCACAGCATATATAATAATGAAACCACAGCATATAATAATAGATCCACAGCATATAATTATGAACCCACAGCATATAACAATGGACCCATAGCATATGATAATGCAACCACAGCATATAATAATATACCACAGCATATAATAATAGATCCACAGCATATAATAACGAAACCACAGCATAAAATAATGCAACCACAGCATATAATAATAGATCCACAGCATATAATTATAGAACCACAGCATATAATTACAAACCCACAGCATATAATAAAAGAACCACAGCATATAATTACAAACCCACAGCATATAATTATAGAACCACAGCATATAATAAAATCATCTAACATAAGGCAGCCATGGCGTTCCAAACTATATCGTTGCATTTTTACTAACGTCGCTGTAGCCTCATTGTGATGTCACATTAGCACAAGTTTCTCCGTGTATATTTTCTATTAGGAAGTATTCAAATGAGGCGTTTGAATAAAATTATGTACCACGAACGGGCTCGTAAATCTGACTTATCTACCTTGCAAATAAGAATATAGCTTCAATAGAAATTGTAGAAAATACTGCATATTGAAACTCACAGAATTTAATTTAAAATCATGCCGAAATAATCTTAATTCAATTATATATTTTTGGTTATAATGCTTTGAATTAGAGAAACCTGTAAGCCCCTTTCATTTACTATATCTTGACCTAAATTAAGTTGACAAATCCAAGACCAAGATTATATTGTGTAATGAAATTACAATGCGTACAAGTTCCTGTAATAATGTGAATGGAATGTAACTAGTTTGAAGAAATGCAAAAATCTTAAGAAATCTTCAGTCGCCAACTAAATAGTGTAATATCTTGATGAAATGTGTCTAAGTCAAAGATGTACGTGTTGTAGATCGTGTGATCATGTGTACATTTTTGTGATATCTATCATGAAGTGATGTGCATTCCTTTTCATAATTATTTGTTACTTATTCCAATTCTTGGTGTTTGATTACAATTTTTCTATTAAATATGATCTTTTTGAATTAAAAGTACAATTTTTGATAAACATTTTTAATCTGAAAGTAACCTCAAACAGTCATTTAATAATTAAATACCGTGTAAGTGCAAAAAGTCAAGAATATTAGCATCCGTAAATAGCCTATCTCTCATTAGTTGCAGGCGAAAGGTATATATTTTAATCACTTTTTGTAATCATTTGGGTATGTTCTTCATCATATTAAAGATTGAAAACATTGTGACAAAGACTTCTGAAAATTTTTTACAAATGTAGGGTGGAAAATTAACTAAAGAATAGAGTTCATTTGCCTATTTTTTTTAAATGTAAACTTATCCTTTATGTCAATTGAATAAAAAAGAAATAAATCTTGAGAAATATTGCTTAATATTGTTCAGTTAATAAAGTCTATAAACGACGATGTTTGAAGAAGTATTTTCGTGATTTTTCATATTCTCTTCTTGACATGTACCCTTAAAAATAACTGAAAATGTGTAGTTGCAGTATGTAATTACCATTCCAAGTTTCAAAGGCTGTACTACATTTAAAAACAAGGAAACATATCATGAGCTTTTAACTGATTGATAAGCAAGTACTACCGGTAATTTATAATTTTGAAAAGTTTGAAAATCTTGTGACAAAGACTTTTCCGACATAGGTTCTACCTTAAATGAAAATAGTTGTATGGAAATATTTACATTTCAAGCTTCATTTTGAGACTTTTTGATTTAAATTTGTAAATGAAAGATTTATCCTTCCTGGCTGAGGATCGGATATCCTTAACCTTCATATATGTATTTGATTAATATCATAAGTTAAATGGAATATATAGAATAGATGTTTAAGATTTAACTTTACACCATATAATTTTAATACCAGACTTGTTTTTTTAATTTTTTTTTAAATTTAGAAGAGTTTAGGAGATGCAGCAGGGTAAGTCAAAGCATTATCGTATCGATCTTGAAAGTCGCTTGGTTCGATATACACGCGTATATTTTCTCATACAAAAAAAGATAGAATACAAATACAAATTAATATGCAACCTCTTCCTTTGGTCATTACAAGGACCCTTGGTCAAAAATCATGCTGACAAAACCAAAGCTGCCTAGAGTTTCCTAGTTTTTAAATGACTAGCTCATGTGACTTTTAAAAGCTCAACAAATAGAAATATCCAGGTGTGAAACACGTCAAGTAAACGTTAGTCATTTTGTTTTATGTCCATCAGTCATTTAAAATTTGGACATCGGTTTTATTTGATTACCATGTGTAATTTGTATTACCGGGGGCATACGCAATTATCCTATTTCTTATTTTTTTGTGACTCAACAAAAATACTTTTTTATATAATAATAGTATAATTTGACGAAAGTTGGAATTTTTTGTCAGAATTATTTTGCACGAAGAAACATATATATAGTTTCAACCCGGACCAAGCGATTTTAATGAAAGGTAGAATGAGAAAAAATAGCATTCACCAAATTTAACCTTATTTTGATTTTTCAAAATATTTCTTCTAAAAAATGTTGAATAATTTTTTTAATATAATATAAGTACTCTGAAGTTGACATCAAGAAGATGCTTGAGTTTCTGATTGACAATATCTATGTGGTTTTTGGAGACCAGGTATTCCAACAATCTATTGGAATTCCCATGGGTACAAATTGCGCTCCGTTATTAGCAGACTTATTTTTATATTCATATGAAGCAGAATTTATGCAAAATCTTACGCGTGAAAAGAAGAAAACACTTGCTGTGGCCTTCAACTCGACATTTAGATATATCGACGACGTATTGTCAATTAATAATGATAATTTCCATTCCTACGTCGATACGATATATATCCTGGTGAGCTTGAGATAAAAGATACCACAGAGTGCGACATTTCTGCTTCATACTTGGATATTTTACTTGAAAAAGACACTAATGGTAATCTAACAAGGACGCTCTATGATAAACGTGATGACTTTAACTTTTCTATCATCAACTTCCCTTACTTATGCAGCAATATACCTTCATCACCTGCATACGGAGTATATATATCTCAGTTGATTCGATACGCAAGAGCATGCTCTACGTATGAACAATTTCTAAAACGAGGTAAATTATTGACAAGCAAGTTGATGAAACAAGAATATCAGCAGTCTCGTTTAAAGTCATCATTTCGTAAGTTCTATGGTCGATACAATGACCTTGTCAGCAAATACAATTTATCATTGAGTCAAGTGCTGAGTGACGTTTTTCATATCAATTGTTAGTCCATTATTTATACACTGAATTGACAACGGATTTTTTCCGTTATTTCCTGATCATGACAAGGAGCACACGGCGGGTGTGACCGGTCGGCAGGGGATGCTCACTCCTCCATGGCACCTGATCCCACCTCTGATGTTTCGGGGGTCCGTGTTTGCTCTGTTTTTATTTTGTATTGTTTTATGGACCTTGAGATTGAATACTGTTCGTTATCTCCATATCCTTCCATATATAAAATTTAGTTCTCGTGTTTTAATGTATTCTTTTTGTATGTTACATTTCTGTATTAAAATATGAAGTACAATTTTTGAGAATGAATTATAAAGAGTATCTCATTCAAAATCATAAATAAAAGAAACTTATTGAGATAACTGAAAAACAAGTTTGTTATACCAACTTTTCTTTGGAAAAACATTTAGCAGGGAACAATCTGCAATACAGATCGTACCCCATATCCCATTCGCTCAGTAGAATTATATGCTTAAAATTATAACATTAATTTTGAAGATTGGGAAAAAAGCAACTGAACTATGATAAATTTGATATATAATTTCAGTTCTTTATAATAATGGAAATTTCCTTTTATGACAAATTAACTGAAAAATTCTTTGTTACAGAATAGACCATGTCCACGTGGACAAATTTGTAGGCAGGGATTCTGTGGTGGTAGGTTATCATTGCTTACTTGAATCCCCCCCTCTGTCCTACTCTCTCCCTCTCTCTCTCTCTCTCTCTCTTTTATTCGCTCTTCCTGTTCTTAATGATCTCTCTCTCTCTCTCTTTTTACAATGATGATACCTGCGAAGAGTTGAAATATCATATTATTATATTATTACGTCAAAGAGAAAAATGATGGGTGTTAGATTTATATGCAATCCATAAATACCTTTATCGCAATTTAATTATTTAAAAAGAAAAAGTAAAACAAATACCAATCTAAAAAGTCAAGTCATTTTATTACAGGTAACTTCGGAGAAGGTTAACGCTAGATGGTACATTATGAACACGACAAACACGGGTGTGCGGATAGGACGTAGTAGATCTGTTCACTCGTACACGGAATATTCGACATGTGTTAAAAAATACAGAAATAAATGAAATATTTTTTGATAATATTTATTTCACTGGTAATTTACATTACTATTTAGGTTAACGCTAGATGGAACAATATACAGGTCGACGAACACGAGTTATCGTTCATAAATGTGCAGATTATGTAGCAGATCTGTTCACTCGAACATGGAATGTTCGACATGTGTTAAAATATACAGAAATAAATGAAATGTTCTTTAATAATATTTATTTCACTGGTAACTTAAAATTGGTTATTATATATAAAACCGTGTGCGTAAAAATTGAAATTTCAGTCAATATAAACAATGTATCAACTTATATTAATCATCAAATATGGATAAATTGTTGACAATCGTTGATTAATTTATTCTCCAACCTACGTAGAATGTGCATGCCGAAATTCCTGTGAGTATATCCTGGGGAAAAAATCCAGTTGAAATCTCAGAGCAGTATACGCTTCTTATCAACCTACTTTTGCCTGTAACCAGATTAACATATGAATATAACTCTGATCCAAGATATTTTCTTCCACATACCTGTAGTTTTTACCAGCTTAGAAAAACTGTACGATATCCGCCATTTCTCTAAATACTCTGGTTAGAAACAATATTTATTTAATAAGTAAAATAACCTTGATCTCAGGTGTTTTATCTCATCTACCTGTAGTTTGTACCGGGTGATAAAATTTTTGTATGAAGATATGTCTCTGAACTAAAAGCTATCTCCTACCTCCTGAACTTTGTACCTGATAACCGTACTTTGTACCAGATAAGATCCCTGCAAATTATATACTATAATCCTACCTGCCATTGAAAAATAAATGGTTAATTTGGTATTGAAAATATAACCCTGCTCTCGGAGTGTTTCTCCAACCTACCTGCAGCTTGTATGGGCTGATAGTCTGTGAGAAAAATCGGTAATAGCCCACCTTCTATGGATAGTCATAAGATAAATTTAACATGAAAATATGTCCCTGATCTCAGAGCTTTCTCCAACCTACCTGTTCTTTGAACCAGTTAAGATCCCTGCAGATTATCACCATAATCCTACCTGCCATTAATAGATATATGATTTATTTGGTATTAAAAATATAACCCTGCTCTCAGAGGGTTTCCCCAACCTACCTGTGGATCGTATCAGCTTATAGACTAGGAAAGAAATCGGTAATACCTCACTCTGTTGATAGACACAGATTAAATTTAACATGAAGATATGCACCTGATCTCAGAGCTTTCCCTAAATTACCTATACTTTGTACCAGATAAGATACTTGCAAAATATGCGCCATTATCCTGCTTACCATTGATAGATACAGGATTTATTTTGTATTGAAAATACAATCCTGATATCGTAGTGTTTCCCCAAACTACATGTAGCTTGTATCAGCTAATAGTTCAGGACAAAACTCCGTAATACCCTACCTGCTATGGAGATTCACGAGATAAATTTGACATTAAGATATGTTCCTTATCTCAGAGCCTTCTCTAATATACCTGTACTTTGTACCAGATAAGATTTCTGCAAAATATTTGCCATAATTCTACTTTTGGTCAACATGAGGCTCAAAGTTACTTTAGAATAAACCAGCTTTATAAACACTAACCTGGTTCATTATCTGGAAAATGTAGGTCGGATCCAGCATCCAAAGAAAGCTTTGTGGTATGCATACAAAGATGCATCATTCATTTAAGTCTTGTCAACATAAGACTTTTGCGAGAAGCGCTAACCTTTACAATCGACGACTTACTTTCACACCAGGAAATTATATGGTGGCTCTTTTGTGAAAAAAATATTTATCTAAACATTTAAAACAACGATAATAGCGGGCTATTTCAAAGTCCATATTACCTTTATGAGAAAAGCATCCTACCCAAACACTTTAACTGCTGCCGAATACTCCTTCCGAAATGTTTTCTATTCTTTAATTTAATTTCTTCAGTTATTGAAAATAGAAAGATATACTAATTCCTCATGAATAAGATATGTGACGACGCACTTTGAAGAAATTACGCACTTTGAAATTTTTTTCAAAGTGCGTTAAATTTGGGACGTAGTTAACGCACTTTGAAAAAAATTGTTTTTTTCAAAGTGCGTTAATATCGACCATATTAACTCACTTTGAAAAAAAAATGTGACGAATTTGGTCAATATTCTAGCAAATGCGTATATTATGTCTATCTTTGTAAAAAAAAAAAGCTTGGGGGCTGAACCCCCTGACCTCCGCCACCCCATCCCACCCAAATTTTGAAGAAATATTTAGGTATGGTGATCATGGCATTGAACATTAATGGACTTTCAATTTTAGAAGAACTGAAATTCAATGCACTATGGACTTCCTTATACTTTTTACTGCTTAAAGAATTTTCAAGTTTTTTTTTTTTAATTTTACCATTTAAGCTATATGAACAAGAAATGCGACAAAAAAAGGGTCTTAGTTTGTATGCACATACAAAAATAAATTTCCCGCGTAAAATGATGGATCTTTTTTTAGATCATCATATTACGCGGTTTTGATACGGATAGTTTTGATAGTTTGGTAGCTTTGATAGTTTTATTACGGATGGTTTTGATAGGAATGAAAAAAATATTCCTGATTAGTATTAAGAAGTATGAAAAAAAAATTATTTATGCATCTTATACAATTTTTTTGTATTGTATTTGATTTTGTAAAGCTACTTTGGCCAAAATATAGTTAGATGGCTATTCTTGATAAGATCAGTGACATGGTCCCTGAGTCTCTTTTCTTTAATATAACAAGGTGCTTTTTTCAAGAAATATCTCAATTTTTTTTTCTATTTATATATTCTTATTCTTGAAAGAAAATATATCAATGTCATACCATTTATGTGACTACATATATTTGGGTAGGAAAGATAAAGAGTTGGGATCTTCCACCTGTCTTTGCCTCGATCTCGATGAAGAAAGATTAATTTACCGGTTTTTCAAAAAGAATATATATATATATATATATATATATATATATATATATATATATATATATATATATATATATATATATATATATATATATATATATATATATATATAAAACAAAATAATATAGTCCATTACTAGAACTTCCAATTTTTTTTTTATATATAACTGAAAGTGCGTTAAGTGTCTCCGTGGTTAAAAAAAATGATGTACACTCTTAACGCACTTTGAAATTTTTTTTTCAAAGTGCGTTGGTTTCGTCCAAAATTTAACGCAGTTTGATTTTTTTTTTCAAAGTGCGTTGATGTTGTCCCAATTTTAACGCACTTTGAAAATGTTTTTTAAAGTGCGTATTTTTTTCAAAGTTCGCTGCCACAAAGGTATATAAATTAATTTTATTTTACTCCAATTATATTTTGTGCTCAAAGCCCCTCATTCCATAGCTAAAACCTCTATAAATGTTTTCATATCATAAATCAATTCCATACCTCAGACCATAACGCAGGTTTAAAAGCCGTCAACGGTAAAAGTCAGTGTCTTCGCAAAAGTCTACTAGGCTTATTCTGACTTAGGAATGAATCAGTTTCAAAAATATTATCCTTTCCCTTCATTTAAAAAAATGCAGGTCGGATCCAGCATCTGAAGCAAGCTTGGTGGTGTGCATCCTTAGATGTATCATCCATGCAAATTGGTCAAGACTAATGTAGTTCATTGGACATAAGACTTCCTCAAAAAAATTCAACCTGTTCCCAAAACCTTTATCTGCTCTAAAACATAAAGGTCAAAGTTATAATTTCTTTACTGACTTGTACAGTGAAAAACATTACGTCATTTCTACTTCCAATTAAAACTCTATTAATCATACTAATCTCAAACTAACCCTACCCTGAGGGTCAGGGTTTGAAAAAAGTTGAATATTCACTATGTCAGGTAACGTTCAACCCTTCTGATCCTGTGATTCTTGAGATTTTTAATGACCCCTCCCAATTTTAACTAATTCTTAATTATCTACCCTTGGAAAAGGGGATTTTGATTCTCCCAAGAATACTGTGTGCCAAGTTTATTGAAATTGGCTCAATGGATCTTGAGAAGTAGATGAAAATGTGAAGTTTACGAAAACGCCGCCGCCAAAGATAACAGACAAGAGGATATTTCAAGCAGAGAGGCTCAACTAAGCCTTTGGGTAAGGTGAGCTCATCACTTAATTGATGTTTTTTTGTATGATAAGTTTTGAAATGCATTTTTGCGAAAAAAAAAAAATGCGAATTCAGGCTATAAATAAGAGTTAATTATAAATCAAAATAAAGAAGGTAGAGTTGGCTGGTTTGAAAATATCAAAAACATTTGAATTATTGTGGGCTATCTAAACTTTGGCTTAAACAAAGCTCTCTTAGTTTAAAAGGAGTCAAGTCTCAAGTCAAGCTAACATTAATTGATCAGTTCAAACAAAGTGAACAATTTTCTTTAGTCTACCTTAAATTTATTAAAATATTAATATTTTCGAATCATCAGTGTCTATTATACCTTCGCTTGAAAATCAGGGGGTATATAGTGATGTGGGGGTCCTCCTTCCATCTAGCTGTCCGTTTGTCCGTCCGACCGTCCGTACGTTACGATTTGGAGTACCCATCACTTATCCGCAACTCCTCTTATACCACTGAATGAAATTTAATAAGACTTTTACAGAATCCTTGTTACAAAGTGTCATTGTGCACCTTCTATTTTACTTTTTGATCAGACACATATAGCAGAACATGTACGACTATTCTTTCTATTATATTGAGGGGTACCCTCATCTTGTCCACAATTCCTCCTATAGCTCTGAATAAAATTTGATGACAAATAGTTTTGTCTGAGTGATTTGATTGATTCGTTCTCTTGAAAAGTTTCTTTCAATGCAAGTGTAAACAAATGTATATAAAATAGCATTGAAGTTAATTTTAGTAGATAATTACTCAATTTTACGTGTTGAATAGGGCATGCATTATAAACGATTCGTTAAACAAATGATGTATTTTTACTGCGACACAATAAGCAAGAATTGTTTCCACAGGAGATGTATTCTGTGCTGTGGGCTATGTTTGTGGTCATTTAAGTTATTTAAAACTGGAGTGAAGTGATATTAAAGTAAGATCAATTAAACTTAAGCATGATTGAAATGTTCCCACGAGATGTATCTGAGGAAAGACATGTAAGCAGATCTCTCAGAGCATTCAAGATTTTCACTAGAAGAGGCAAGGCCACTTAGGAGATGATCAATCGTTTTGTTCGCACTTGACATTTATTGGTGTAAAAATTTGAATAAGGTCAAGTACGATGGTGTGCTATGAAGTGCCATGAAGGATTGATCATTTCCTGGAGACCAGTCACACCCGACGTGTGCTCCTTGCCATGATCGGATTATAACGGAAAAATTCGTCGACAATTCAGTGTGCAATAATGGCCTAACATTATTTTTTTTTACGAAAAACGCCAGTCAGCTTTTGACTCAATGATAAATTGATTTGCTGACGAGGTCATTGTATCGATTATAGAACTTACGAAATGATGACTTTAAATCAGACTGTTGATTTTCTTGTTTCATTAACTTGTTTGTCAATAATTTACCTCGTTTTAGAAATTGTACATAAGTAGAGCATTCTCTTGCGTATCGAATCAACTGAGATATATAAACCCCGTGTGTAGGTGAAGTCATTTTGCTGCAAAAGTGAGGGAAGTTGTCGATTAAAAAGTTAAATTTATCATAAAGCATGGTTGTTAGATAACCATTAATCAAAGGTTTTTTCACGTAAAATATCCAAATATGAAATATGAAATAAGTATGTCGGACTCTGTTGTATTTTTTTTTATTTTAAGCAAACTGGGATATATTGTATCGATATAAGAATGGAAATGAGCATTGTTAATTGACAATACGTCGTCAATATATCTAAATGTCGAGTTGAATTCCAAAGAAAGTGTTTTCTTCTTTTTACGTATAAGATTTTAACAAATTTTTAAGTACCTATGGAAATATCAATAGATTTTTAGAAGACCTAGTCTCCAAAAATCACATAAATATTGTCTATCTGAAAATCAAGCATCTTCTTAATGTCATCTTCAGATAACTTGTGTCTAACCAGAATGTTTATAACAAAATAGTCTTTCAAATGACAAATGACAAGGTAAGTTAATTTGCGAGTTCCATTTTTATTGAAAAAGCAACTGTCAATGATATGAAAAAGCCAGGACTTTAAATTGTGGGGAATGGTTGCGTATTAAGTTGAAAAGTAATAAGTTTTTAAGCTGTTGATTTGAATATAAGAAATTAAGTTGATTTTTGAGATTTTATGAGGACATGATCTACAACGCTTTATGCCGGCATATTTCAATATGAAGCTCGTTTTTGATATTCAAATTATTTTTCAGATGATTTGCCATATATTTTTGTTATTTAATTATCGGTTTTGAAAGATAAAGTTTGCACTATTTTTGACTTCAAATAATGTAAATATTTTTACTCATCCCACAATAGTTCATGAGAATATGAACTTTTTCTAATTTACAAAGAATCTGAAGGAAAAAAATTCGGTAATGTATATGTATTAATTGATTTCAAACAAATAATAGCCAATGAAATCAATATATTAGAAAATCCGTTCTAATGTAAGAATGAGGATATATTAATTTTTTGGTTTTATTTTCTTTCCGTGTCTTTTTTTTTTCAACCACTACTAAACTGAAAATTATTCTCAACCTGACTGACCAAAAAGTGCGTAATTACATTATTCGTTCTTGCCTTTTGCTTTATCTCGACGCAAAATGTTATTATCCAAAAATCGAGTTATTACATTTTGCGTTGTTACATTTTGCGTTGATCTCGACGCAAAATGTAACAACGTAAAATATAATAATGCTAAAAGTCTGTTGTTACATTTTGCGTAATTATATTCTGCATTGATATCGACACAAATTGTAATTACGCAAAATGCAATTATCCCCGTTTATTATATTTTGCGTTGTTATAACATTTCCCGAGTCAACTGAACTAAAGGTTTGCTAATGAAGTCATTTATTTCATGTGTTGCATATTACTTATCTGAGTAAAATATTTAAAGGCATTGTTTTACCTATTTTATGAATGAGAGCTCATGTTTATTGTTGCTCTTAAAAAAATACAATTTTTTTCGAATAAAACTTTGCAATCGACGCATGCACAAACAATAGCACCACAAATTAAGATGAAATACTTGACTTTACATGTTTTGTTCATGTCTCAATTTATCAAATCATTGATTGGAACAATTCTTCTATTGTCCTGTTACATAATAAACTGGCATACATAAATATATAAGAAGTTAAACTTGTCCGTAAGTATAGTTGTTTGGATCCACAGTAAGGTAAATACGCTTTATTGTTTAAAAGTTGTTTGGAAAATTTTAAACCTTCAAATATATTTTCAGTAAACTTGGATATAAGAAACACTTTTTTACTGAAAATAGTTAGATAATTATTTTTTTTTTTTTTTTTTTTGAAAAAAAAAATCAAAACAGTGATATCCATCCATAAAGAAAAGTGCACGTTTTGTTTTAAATATACTTAACGCAATATTTTATTTCTTCCATTGAATACAATTGTAATATGATTCATACTTTTAAAGTGTATAATACCTTCACAAGATATCACAGGATTCTTATAGTTTCCTTATATGCTAATAAAGATTGAAATCTAAGGCAGCAATAAATAGAACCTAGAAGTATTTTTTCCTGTTGTGGTGCATTTCTACTTTTAATACTTCGATTCTTAGGGCTCGGAGAACATTGAATCTTGTAAAGACGCATGAAATGAAAATTGTTGCACAATTAAAATAAAATATAGTAAAATAAAACTCAAACGTACCCGGGTATGCTACTTTAATATTGCAAAACTCTTACACTGATCAAAATCGCATAACATGTACTTTATCATTTTATTCCATTTACCTTTAAACTGATAAATACTGTAAATAATTATAAATTTTATACTCTGTAACTATTTACAAAATTTCCTTATCATTCAATTTACTTTTCCCTCTTTGCAAGTACCAGGATGTTCGTTTTGTACTTGAGTATCGTGGTAGTGCTGGGTTCCATTGTTAGTGCTCAGGACGATTACGCGCCTCAGTACTGTTACAGGGTAAGAACACTTTTTTCTGAGTCTTTAATATGGTTCCTTTACTAACAGAACAGTTTTATGCGTAGCCTACACAATATTAAAATGTCAAACATTTAATTAATTAAGTACATATTTAGAAAAAAGTCTTAAATGAAAATATCGAATTAACATTTTACTCACAAACTACATTAGATAAATCAAAACCATTGTTTGTATATAGCAGTGTCTGAAAAAGAAACAGCAAACTACCGTTGGAATTTATTATTCTATTCAGATATCTCTATTAAAAAGTCCAAAAATACAGAACAAGAAAAAATATGATGAAGTCTATGGGTTACATATACTTAATTTTACAATGCAACACATTAAAAAAAGTATGTTATAAAACAACCAAGACTTCCCTTACTTATGCAGCAACATACCTTCACCATCTGCATACTCAGTTTATATATCTCAGTTGATTAGATACGCATAAGTATGCTCCACTTATGAACAAGTTGATGAAACAAGAATTTCAGTTGTCTCGTTTAAAGTCATCATTTCGTAAGTTCTATGGTCGATGCAATGACCTTGTCAGCAAATGCAATTTATCATTGAATCAAATGCTAACTGATGTTTTTTATACTAATTGTCAGTCCATTATTTATACACTGAAATGATGACGGATTTTTCCGTTATTTCCCGATCATGACAAGGAGCACACGGCGGGTGTGACCGGTCGGCAGGGGATGCTTACTCCTCCATGGCACCTGATCCAACCTCCGATGTTTGGAGTTCATTGTTTGCTCTGCTCCTATTTTGTATTTTTTAATGGAATTTTGATCTTGAAAACTGTTCGTTATCTCCATATAGATATAGAAATCATTTCCATTTCTGAATTTAGTATTTCGAATAAAGTTCTCATCATTGAAATTCATGAAAATATTATTAACAAAACTTTTCTGGTGATTATTTTCTCGGGAAAGAAAATCTATTATTGAAAAAATATTATTTGTTGGGTTCGAACACTACCTATAAATATTCTGAAAGTTAGTTTCCTTGAGTAGTTTTCAGGCTTACACGTTTTTTGAATACGGTTTAAATAAAAAAAAAACGAGATAAATTATAACACATAGAATAGAAACTGATATGTATTTTACAATACAAAATGATTTATTATCATTCTTCCCGGCAGCTTCAACGAAAACTTCAACGAAAAAACAAAAAATTAGATAATCAACTGTCTTTGTAAAAGAGGATTTTTTTGTGGTGTTCCCTGCGACTACTCGGACAAAATTGATTATAATTTATGCAGTAAAATTAATCATTATTCCGATAAAATTGAATTTTAGTTAAAAAAAAATGAATTTTATTCCACACAAGCACTTGACGTTTCTTATTTTTCTTATATTTAAAAACAACCATACCAAATTATATGTATTTTTAAGTGTATGGTTAATTTTTGTATAGAAGAAAAATAAGTAACGTCCGGTGACTGTGCAGAGTAATATTCGGTTTTTTAAGTAAAATTCAATTGTATTGGAATAATACTTAATTCCGATACAATTGAATATCGAATCATTGTAGGATACGGATTGTGGACCTTATCAACGCTGTCGACAGGGATACTGTCAACAAGGTAGGGTAAAAACTGAGAGAGAGAGAGAGAGAGAGAGAGAGAGATATGAAATTTCAGAGTAAAAACCTCAATAGAAAGTGAATATAGAAACATGTTCAAAATTATAGATTGACACTGTGTCAATTAGTTTACATTGTGAGATGAGCTTAGTAAACATTTCGAATACGACTGATAGAAGACCAATTTCATTTAAGTAAAAAATTAAATCAAGAAATTTAAAAATAGAATGATTATGCTATTACTTTAAAAATAAATTTGGCGTATTTAAGCTAACAGGAGATAGGGTATTGATATACGAGGTTCAAGTAAAATCTATACCGATCTTTAACTTGAATAACATCACGTTTCTTTAGTTGAATTAACTTTAAATTTATCTGTTAGACCTATTTAGATTAGGAGTCGGTAAATAAATCGGTTATTGTTTAAAATTTTTAATATCTTTGACATACAATTGATTTGAATTGTGTGATTTACAGAAAATTCCTATTTCTATATTTATTAAAAAAACACATATAGATACATATTTTCTCAATGTTTGTTATCTGAACTTATTAAAAAATACGGCATATATGGCTTTAAGTAATCTATAGTGGATTGCTCCTTTATGCTTTGTCGAATTTTGACATTTGAAAATTAGTAAGCATTAAAATTAAAACGGAATGCTGTTCAATTGACATTGACAGTTTTTATCACTAAATGTTTATTTGATAGAAATTTAGAAAGTTCTTTTCAGAGAAAAAAAAACTAATTTTCCGTATTTGTGTCGTAGGTTCGGGATCAAGCTGTGCGGTAAGTTTTGAGATGATATTTTTAAAAATATTTAAAAATGTAGGTGCGTAGGTGCTATTGTACATCAGCTGCATGGAAGGCATATACGATGGGTTATCAAAAAGTTCGTGGACTGAGGCTATCAAATTATGTAGTTTGTGCTTTCAAAATTTATATGGAACATAAAACAACAAAAAATAAAGAAATGTTGAAAATTTTAGCCTAATACGTCCCTTATTTGCCAAATTATTCTTCAATAAAAACGACAATATATGATGACCCGGCGCTGTGATTCCCTTGAGCTGAGTAAGGACTTTAACCCGCCTTGTTTATATGACTTTACAATGTCATGAACAGCGTCTTTCCATTCAATGAATATAATATTCTAAATGGATTTATACATTGGGAGATATCCTCGCTTGATTGTGCTAGCATATTTTGCTTTTGGGAGTTCAATATGTACAACACATGACCAACGTCATTTTTTGACGTGATTGATTTTTCACACCTTGAATATCCCTTTTCTCTCTGAATCTATTTTTTGACATTAAAAGACAAGTACTCTGGATGCATATTATTTCTCTGTAGCCAGTTTAAGCATTTCTTAGGTCTATACCAGTTATTTCAGGGGCAAAACTTTATAGAATGTTAGAAAAGGAAATCCCTCCCCCTTTTGACGTCATTTTCAAGGCCTTATTTGGTTGGACACATTATGTAAAATTTACGATAGAATTTCATAAAACTTCCAGAATGAAGTAAAACTTTCATATTTTATGGAACAATTGTTTCCCAAACAAATACCTGAATTAACGGGATTTTTGGATGTCAAATGTTAATACCAAAAGAGTTTTTTCTTAGTTACACATAGGTCGCAAAAACGCCTTCGAGGTTGCACCGCCTGGACATACCATTGCTTACAAATCATTATTAATTTATTAAAATATAAAATTTATGATTTATGGTTTATTCTTTAGATAGAAAAGATGATGCTAACTAGATATTTTAAAATGCATTGATGTGCCTAAAGCGGTTTTAATTTTATGGCCTAGTCCACGAATTTTTATAACCCCTCGTATGTAGGGGTTAATGGCACAATGTTACATAATATTGAATAAGAGACATTGACGATAGAAAAGTTTAAATCATTGCCTTTTATGAAGTTTTGTTGTCATTTTGCTATAATATCTGTAATCAGTAAAACAGTCGAAAATGAAATAGAAATGTCGGCTTCTGAGTTTTGTCTTTTTATTTCGAATATAAAGAGATGTATTGAATAAAAATGGTAAGGGAACAATAGTTTATTACTCAATACCGATGTTATTACTGAAAGAGGAATGGAAGGCCGTGGCGAGAGACATCTTTACCTTCCCCCTCTTTCTTTCTCAGAGTAGGATTTACCCCCTTTTTATTGAGTCAATATAAACCACAGGCCCAATAGAAGTTTCTGACTACATTCTACTTGATCTGGTTTAAAATAAGACCATCTTATAACGTGGCATAATAAGTACCAAGAAGTATTCCAACAGATTGTTTGAATACCTGGTCTCCCAGAACTACTCAGTTGCAAAGATTGGTTGATTGATTGATTGTATGTTGTTTAACGTCCCTTTCGAGAATTTTTCACTCATATGGAGACGCCACCATACGCCGGTAAAGAGCTACCATTTTTTCCTATATTCGGCACTCAGGACCATTGACCAGTGAGGGGTCTTTTTGTGCCATTACCTACTGCGACACGGGACCTCGGTTTATACGGTCTCATCCGAAGGACCGGTATGCCCAATCCACTTCACTTTTTATGAACTATTTGCTGAATGATTGGGTCTTGATTTGTTGTTTTCCACAGGTTTTGTTGTTTATCTTTACTGGCCACCTGATGTTTAGTATATGGTACAGACATCTGTGAAGTTTGTAGTTTGTTGGAGGTGGCGTTGGTGACTCTCCATGTTGAGACTGAACATAAGTGTTATAGATACGAAGTTACATGCATGTGGGCAGTGCTATTGACTCCACATAGGCTTGAGGGTGATGAGGAAGCTCAAGCATCTAAATACATACATGTAATTTCAATTTCTGAGTAATTGGAATGTTTTAATACTGTAGATCACTTAATTTTCGCGACACCTTATTTTCGCGAGATAGTCATGGGCTCTTTATAAGCGAGACAAAATTTTCACGAATTGTGATTATTGGTGTATATAATCTTTTCGCATACTAATATACGCGAGAACTTTATTTTCGCGAGCAAATTGTCTCGCGTAATTACGCGAAAATAAAGTTCTCGAGAATAAAAAGTGATTTACAGTACTAATTGCAAATGGATGATGACAAGGTTTTAACTTGAAGCAGAGGTCTAAGATTTCAAAAATGGTATCTTAAATTTATCCTGGGAAGTAGTTGTATAAAGTGTTAAGGAGTCGTATGTTTTGATGCTGTTTATCTGAGTAAAATTTTGATATGTCAAAAAAAAAAACCCTGGATTTTCTAAGTATCCGTATCTGAAGACACCTCTTCTCGAATATGATGTTGAACATTTTCACTCTATGTTTTTCTCCACTGCCGTTAATATTTTTATGAGGCAAAAAAAGACTTTGTAGAAAATTTTGTGAACCTGCTATGTATCTACATATAAAAATTGTTAATTTAGAACAATCGTCCGTGGAGAGGTCATTTTGAGTATAAATTAGATTTTACCTGCCGAATTAATCCTTACTTCCCATAGAATTTGATGTTAATACCGGGTAGTGAGCCTTACCAAAAAAAAAAAGCTAGAATGTTGTTACCTGCAGTTAACCTAGATTAGGTAAATTATGATTCTGAAATAAGTTATCTGTCTACAAATGGTTAGAGTAAAGTCCTTTTAAACCATTTTTAGAAAAATACTGCTACAAAAGGAAAGCATAAGATTGCTTAATTATAATTATTATGATGATTAATTATGATTCTTATTATATTGTTTGTTTGTTTATATTTGAGTTGTATTTTGAAATAATACTGTTGTTTCGTTATCAAGACCGTTTATTGCCCAAGAGGATTCACTTGTATAAATGGACAATGTGTAAGACGTAAGTAATCATTTTATATTTATTTAGTTAATTGCGATTCTCTCACAGCATCCTTACTCCTACATAACTTTCCCGAAAAATGTAAACTAAATCTGTATCGTTTTATTGCATATTATATTCTAGAATTTTTAATATAAATAGTTTTTAAATTCATTTTTGGCTGAAAGAATAAGTTTCTAAAGATTTATCATTTTATTGAGTAAGGTTTGAACTATCGGTCAGGTAGTTTTGTAAACTGCAACATTGACATTCAAAAATGATGCTCATAATGTTTTTATTGAATAATATACTGAAAGGGAAAGTTTGCTAAAAATAGTGATGAAAGCAGATTTGATAACACATTTTATAGTGTCCCCTGATACACACGAGGCATGAATTTCGTTTTTGCATAATTGCAGTCAGTGTGAACTTCGTACAATTATGATACGACTGACGGATATTTTATTGGGTCTAGTACTTGGATTTTCCAAGTAAAGAAAAAGACAGCAACATGTTTGATTTGCAATTTTTTTCCCCCAAAGAACATTTGATCAGTTGTCAGAGAGTACCTTGAGAGGTTTCCAACTAACCGTGACAGTGACGTTGGTGATAAACAACGTAACTTTAAGATAGGACATTTATTTTGCCACCTGCATAATCGTCAAGGCATTGTCACTGAAACAGATATTAATACAGTAGGCAACTATCATAATCATTACGTTCCTTCCAAACGTGATGCTATTTTGTTCGGTGTCTCGGGAACTTTAAGTTAATAATACTCTTCTCTAACTCGTGCACGTATGCCTAAGTTTTTCGTATGTTTACTCTGGAAAAATGTAGCTTTTAGAAAAATGAAGACATTCTTGCAAATATTCACATTTTCAAAATCAACTCACTTACATAATATCTATCTTTTTTCTTCAATCGCTTTTTTCCCCGTTCAGTATATTTATGAAGATAATGACTTACATATCAATAATGCAATATTTAATATCAATATTACTGAATATGAGTATTCATTCAAATATAAATACAAATGTATGTGCAATAAAAATGTTTTCTTTGTTTGTAAGTATGGACATCAATGTCTAAAATATTGAGAGAAAAAAAAGCAGGTTGGCCATTTTTTTCTGTAATAACACCATTATTTCCTAATCTGGCATCCAAAGAAAGTACTTTATTATTCAAATAAAGATAAGATTCTAGATCACCTCAGAAAATTATTTGGTTGCCCTCTCACGAACGACTTGCTAAAAAATACCTATCTCAAAACTTTTGTAACTTCCAGGAAGCAATTAGTTTTGGACAATTAATAAAAAGCATTGAAATTTAAAAAAAGGAGGAAATTTCACCTACCTACCGACACATTCTTTTCACCCTGAGTCTGAAGAAGACAAACAGACAGATTTTTAAAGTTGGCCCCAGTATGATTTTGTATTCCTTAGAAGCCGAGTTAATGTAGCATTCTGTTTTTTTTACAAATAAGCAAAAATAGTCCTGTGATGCTGAAAGTATTGAGTAAACTCAGCATATAATTAATATTTTATATTAGTAATTCAATTCTTATAAGAACAAAACTGTATGATTCTAACTGTGCTAGTGATGCAGAAAGTGAAGATTTTTTAAATAAATAATGGCATCCTTTTTCAAAACAGATTCAAGTTCAGACTACTGTGATCCCGTGGTGAGTAAAACATACTTTTTGAGTTTCTTTCCTTTTAAAATAAGTTTCATTCGCATTATATTTCTTTCTTTCTTTTCTGTTGAAATATCATCATAAAAGCATTTATGCATTACATATAAGATTAAAAATGGAGAAGTTTCCAATTTTAGAAACAGCAGGTTTATAAATTTTTTTAAATTGTCATTCATGTTATATTTTTTACAATAAAGAAAAATAATAATTTTATTATTATTATTTTTTAAAAAAAAGAGATATATTGAGATAACGATCAGTATTCAAGTTCAAACACAATACAAATACGAATTGGAGCAGAGCAAACACTTCCAAACATCCGAGGTGGGACCAGGTGCCATAGAGGAGTAACACTCCAGCCTACCACTCACACCCGCCGTAAATTAATAATGTCCTGTATATCTCTAATCACTTTTATTATGAAGTCAACACATATTTAATGAATACTGTGTTTTAATTGTACATTTGAAAATTTGGTTCAAAAAAGTTGAAGATAACGATCAGTGATCAAATTTTAAAAAAATCTACAGCCAATAAATATATGTGTGAAAAAGGCAAAAATAAAAAAAACCCCGGAAATTCCAAAAGTGGAATCAGTAATCATCCCTTGTAGGACCATTCACATGAAGAATGCTTTTAACCTTCAACAGACGCTATTTAATAAATATTTTGATTTAAAGAACGTGTGCACTAAAAAAGAAAACAAAAAGTTTGGATTAGAAGTTAATAAAGGTCGTAGGCTTTCTAATACGATTAAAATCAGCTCAGAAAGTATAAATAAAGATACAAAATAAGCCTAAATTGATATTTTGGAAAGATTTGCAACATACGATTGTTAAATTTTATACAACTTTTTAAAATTTCCCTTTTATATGATATAGTACAGGCCATGTCCTCGTGGGAAATACTGCATCAACAGGAGATGTGTTGGCGGTAAGTTTATATTCACCCATTTCATATATACTGATTTACTATATGATTACTTTTATACTTATTTGGGTCAATTTTCTATTTGATTTACATTACATTTATATTGATTTACCATATAAAACCTGTGCTTTTTAAAAACAACTCCACTTGTGTATGTAAATATCATTATCATTACAATTAAGGTTGGTTACTGATTATCTTCCTTAATATATCAGGTTGACTAGTCTCATGGATAGGAAAGAGGAGCGAACCGTTTATGATTGATCGACCTAATATATTTATTAGTCAGTAACAAACCTATCACGTGATTTACTTAATCGATCCCTGCCGTGTATGAGAGATATACACAATAGAGGCCTCAGAAGAAATGAGAAACCAAAAAAGAAAAGCATTAACTGTTGAAACTCGGGAGGGGTAGAATCTTAAATTTTGCAAACTTTTAATGCAGTAATATGGCACACTTTCAACCCTATGGCAACAAAAAGTGGGAGATAGCATCTCAATGAAAAAGAGAAATAGATACCTCTGATCTAAGAATGTTTAAAAAGGTCTCCTTCTTAAGGACAGATGATACAAACAAAAAATGGATGCCTGGGTCAGTATATATTTTTTTGGCATAATTTCATTGCAAATAATGCAAATAACAAATTTCTAGAATATAAAGAAATTGTAAACCTTCTGTGATGTTCAAAAGTCTGCCCTTCTGAATCCATCCTTATTAATCTATACAAATATTTTTCACTTGAAATCCCATTTTAGTGAAATTTTGAATAAAAAATTAAAAACTACGCGGTGAAACTTATTCATTTTACTCATTTAAATATGATCCTTGTTGTTATTTTCAAAATGTTTGACATAAGTTTGTTTGTATCATTTGACCTTAAACAGCAAATCCATGATAAGTCATTTTTTATGGAAACATTAATAGCTAGTGTTGATTCAAGTTTCTTCAAATCATAAAACCTCAGGTAGAGTGTGGCCACAATGGGGGATCGAAGTTTTATATGTATATAAAGATGGGAAATGTTTTTTTAAAAAAATTGATGGTATAAAATGAAGTGCGGCTAGTCAATATGAATTTATTAGGTTTTTCACATGGGACTTATTTTATTAACCTCATTTTTATTTTTTTTAAATTTGTTATTGAGCTTTTATCTCCCTTTCCATGGATATTGTGTCAAATTTTCTAGATACTATTATGAAACAAAAAATAAATAAGAAAATCTAAGTCTTGATTCCTGCCTTACATTTTTGGTATTATAATCTCATGCTGTTTGTGTTGATGAAAACAAAGTTGGAAGTTTTTTGAATGAAATTTAAAATAAGGATCATGGGACCTTAATGGGAAATTTGCACAATTTGATTGGATATAATTTTTATTTATGCCAACCAAGTATTAATGAATTATATCCAGCCAGAGTCCGAGCTTGTTTTGCGAAAATTAGACACAATACCCATATTGTGTGAAAAGGTCATTTATTCACAAAAGTACATATCTCATAATATTGAATTTTTAAATTCACTTAATTCGAACAAACATCTTCAGATTCTATCATGCATTAATGCTTCTGAAGATGAATCTATACAGGAAATTATTTAATTCTCTCAGAACTGTGTCTTCATCTATATTTATACTTTATGTTTCTTTATGTAAGGAAATATTAATTCTGGTATATTAATCACACGAAGCCATATATATAATTGTTCAGTATGCTGATATTTTAATTAATGTTTTTGTTTCAACCAATTTTATTAAAATACGTTCAGGTTCTCATCAATGTGATCGAGTAATGAGTATAAAATTATATATAATTCTTAGAACTTTGTATTACATATAATGCTTAGAACTTTGTATTACATTTAATGCTTAGAATTTTTAATTACATATAATGCTTAGAACTTTATATTAGAAATAATACTTAGAGCTTTGTATTACATATAATGCTTAGAACTTTGTATAACATATAATGCTTAGAACTTTGTATTACATTTAATGCTTAGAATTTTTAATTACATACCGGTATAATGCTTAGAACTTTGTATAACATATCATGCTTAGAACTTTGTATTACATATAATGCCTAGAACTTTGTATTGCATATAATGCTTAGAACTTTGTATTACATTTAATGCTTAGAATATTTAATTACATATAATGCTTAGAACTTTGTATTAGAAATAATGCTTAGAACTTTATATTACATATAATGCTAAGAACTTTACATTGCATATAATGCTTAGAACTTTTTATAACATATAATGCTTAGAACTTTGTATTACATTTGATATAATACTTAGAACTTTATATGACTGTCAAATATTGTAGGTAATAATTTTGTAAAAATCGTTGGCTGAATTATTGTTATGCACATTGTTCCCTATATATACTTCTTCAAACACTTTTCAAGTATTGCAAACATGAAACCTTAGATTCAAACATTTACATGTATAGAAAATTAAGCAAACAGTTCCTTTTTTATTCAATGCTCTCTTCTCTCCTCTGCAGTGATATATTAAGGTTGTAAACATTCTAATATTATGAAAAGCATTTAAATATAGTATTTGTTTGGAAGGAAATATCAAAGAACACAATAATTTCATATTGAAATATCCATTTTTCTATATTCCAGTATAGGCCATGTAAACATGGACAGGTCTGTAAGAACGGCTACTGTGTTGATGGTAGGTGATTTTATTTTCCTTCTTAATTGACGTGTTAATGTGAAATGCACAGCTCTATGTTACAAAGTAGGAAGAAACAGGATGGGTGTACCGAACCAGTCTGAAAAAACACTTATCGTTTTCATCTTAAACATTCCAAAAAAAAAAATCAAACATGTTTGAATTGTTTAGGAATGTAAAACGTCTGAAGAAGTAATGAAAGCGCTTACGTTTTACTAAACATTGTCGCTTTTTTTCATTTTGATATGGATCTTTACCTTATCTTAAATTTAAGTAATTTCTGTAATTACAATGTCAACTTTTTCAATTGATATCTGGCATGTTTTACTTTTATTATTTATAGATAGCCATAGGAGATGCAGCACAGTAAGTAAAAGCAAAAATTAAACCACGTATCTTTAAATATATCTTTAAATTAAGGCAAATTGAAAAAAAAAAACATCATTTTAATTGTATTTTGATTTTTCAAAATATATTTTCTGAAACCTTTATATCGTAAATATTTTTTTTTATTTCAAACAATTGCGTTTATTCAGTCTAAAATTTAGTTTTTTATGCTTTGATATATCTTTATGTGTTGAAGTCTGCTTGAAAATATAAAGTACGAATCAAGAAATTTAGAGTGAGTTATGACAACATGTCCTGACTGAATGACAGTAACATATTTAGATAAATACAAAAAAAGCATAGAAATACGATCTCTTTTACTGAAAAAAATTACTGAAAACAATCTGCAATATAAAAATACAATCTGTTTTGATAAAAAAAAACCCAGATAACTGAAAATAATAACCCACATTATAATAAGAGTGAATTTTCTCTAGTTCCCTTACTGGCGAAGTTATATTTCATAAAAATTACGGTATGTTCACATTCACTTTATCTTCCATTTTAATTTTTCTTTTTAAATTTGATTAAAGATAGATAGATATTAAAATAGGTTTAGATAGTAATAGGTTATAGAGAGTTTTTGTTTTACATGCACTCGATTTCCATTCAGGTTAAGATAACATTCAAGCAAATAGAATTCGAAGTGGATTAGAAGTTGCAGGGTCTGCTTTTTTCACACTTTTTACTATTTCTTTTATTTTCTGAAGCTTGTATAAAAAAATTTATGGAAGGGCTGGTTCCTTCCCTCTTCATGGACGGACCCTTCCCTACACCAGTTTAATTTTAGAGTTTACAGAAAGGGGGGCACAATTCTTTAAATTTGCTTTTTATCGTAATATGCACTTCAAAGATTTTTTGAAATTCCAACAAAAAATAACACTAGATAAGTCAGTGCTTGTTTTTAAAACTTTATCCAATGTAAAATAGTGAAATAAAACAGACTGATTACCGACTTTGTAATGTTTAATCAGATTACACATACAGTGAAGCATATACATTTACATGTATTCTCCTCAGTAATTTAATGATGTTGTTAATTTCGAAGTATAAAATTGACCTTGCTCTTCGGGCGTTATGAGTATTTCACCTCTGTGGTTGCTAAATCTTTGTATTGACCTCTAGATGACAATAATGTTAATTGTTGTAATATTTAATGATTGGTAAAAAGAAATCAAAAATAGTTTATTAACTAAATACTTATGTTATGTTATGTCAAAGGTAATCCCATCTTTGATAAATGAACTGAATAATTCTTTGTTACAGTATAATCCATGTCCAATTGGAAAAGTGTGTAGGCGTGGATACTGTGTAAGACGCGGGGGTAGGTTATCATTGGAAAGAGAAAAATGTATGTTTGTGATTTAATGCAACACATCGATGCTATTTTATTAAATTACAACAAATTATTTTTTATTTGCCTAATTCAATAATGTTTACTCGAGTGATTGCATTTTTCAGTGATCTACCGTTCACTGATTTCAACTGGAAAATTTTTACCAAGCTAAATAGCTGTTTTAATTTTTTAGGTGGCGGCGGCAGAGTATGCTATACAGTAAGTAAAATCATAATTTATCATCCACGGATAAGGCAGTAACAGGATATCTTCATCAAATATTTATTTTTCGTATCTTGAGTTAATCAGATGAGCCATTGTGTTCGTCGTCTGTCTACTTTTGAATATTTCCGGCTTCTTCTCTGCAATCACTAAATTAATTTCAATCAATTTTGACAAAAAGCACCATTGAAAGCAAAATAATGTTAAATTTCATGTACCCTTCTCGTATCCTGGTAGGATAGTGCTAAAAGCAAAATCAGTGCTATGTTTGAAAATCTGTGTTGCTCCTTAAATCACGTAGTCAGACTTCCGGCAGGATAGTAATTAGCATCAAGCCCTCTACCAAAGTTGTAGAATTTATGGCCAGTTGGTCAGGGGTCCTTCGGTTAGGATGGCGTATTTAAAATCATCGCTTTGAAAATCGTCTTTCTTACTGTGTATTAAAAAAGTATGCATACAATTAAGAGCAAAGTCTTTCAAATTCCAATGGCGATTCGTCAAATTTGTGGAACCAGGGCAAGGTCTGATGTTGAAGAGGGAATTATTATGAAGTAAAAAAACATTACTAGTATTTCCTTCAATGTATTTTCTTCACCTGGGTAATAAGCCTACATATGAAATAAATTGCTATGGTGAACAAGGATACCTCTTTCAGAATTGTGATTTTTTAGCCCTTGGATTTTTAGTTCTTACTTTTCTGGACACCTGACCCCACCCTTGGATTTTCGGGGGTCCATATTTCTATTTCATTCACAGTTTCATATTGTTTATAGATTTTTTTTCTAGATCTACAATGGTGTAAATTTCGAATTTTTTAGGGGAGGTAAAGCGAAATTTACAACATGATAACTCTTGATCACGATTTATTACCTTCTCCTTTTCCTAAAACCTTCAAACATAAAAATACACTTTACTCATGTCAACTCATATTTAGTGACCATTTTCAAGGTTCTTGGAAGGAGTTCGTAGATATCATCTGTCCTTAAACAAACTTTGATTTATTTTTTTTTGACATACTGTAGTACGAAAAAAAGAGTAATCACAAAAACCTTATGTCGTTTTTATTGAATGAGTTTGAAAAATTACAATAAATTATTCTTGAAATTGTAAACAACGTATTAATAATTTACGATTTTTACACAGGATAGAGATTGTCCCCGTACACAAAATTGTGTGAGTGGACGATGCCAGTGTAAGTATTTATACGATTTAATTGTTATAAATCTTTAAAGTTAATAAATTCTAAACAAGGCCAAGGTTTTAATTTTGTATAAAGCACTAAATATGACCTTTTAAGAGTGTCAACGTGAGCATTTATCACATCATGCATTATTAATACACTGAATACGAAAACTAAAGGGTGTAGAAGAAGTTTAATACATTTTCTTTCTCCAGTGATTTGTATATTAATTTGTCATGAATAACAATCCAATGAGGCCTTATTAGCATTGCGATACACGATTATTTTTTGTTGAGAAAATATTTTGGATATGATCATTAAAATTAAAATCATAACTTTAATTATTTCAGATTATTATATTTGAGTGAAGCAGGAACTCCTTGATACAGAAGAAGAATGAAAGATGAAAGCAAGAAGAATCTATGTCTTGCTTTTAAATAAAAATAAAAATATTTGAAGCAGACAAATTTGCTGGATTTATCTCAGATAAGTGCATATTCAACACAAAGTATATATTTTAATAAATTTTGTATCGAAAATTGTGCACAGCTGTATATCCAGAGATACAAATTATGTAAAGCTACTGGGATCTCTTGCAACGCAACAAAACAAAGATTACATCATTAAATATTCGAATTCAGTTTCACAGTTCATAATTCAAAGGTCAAAGTTCTCAAACACTATTTCACAAGCGGTAAAAGCCTTGACCCTTTGAGGTGCAGTGGTCAAGCACTTATTTTTGTATATATCTAAATCCAAAGTTTACTTTTAAGCTATTATGAGTTACATCACTGTAGATAAGGATAGTGCCGCTCGTTTATCCACATCTCAACTGGAAAAGAAATGGACAGTTACACCAGATTCTTCAAATCCCCATTATACAATAACAACAGGGAAATTGTTTACCGACCCAAGTACAGTATATGCTGGAATATTGAAAATAGACTTTAAAACCAAAGCAACCTCAAGTGTTTATGTTAAAAAGGGCAATAATCAACTGAAATAATTGACAAGAACGATAATCACTAAGAATAAGTACATGTACCGAGATTTAGATAAGACATTCACGCACTTCCTTCGATAACAGAAGCTAATTAAGAGTGAATGATACATTTTGCGGATGATGCTTTTTTTTATCTAGATTATAATTTCTATCTTAAATTAATTTGCCTTTGTTCGAAATTTATCTAGAAAGTCCTAACAAATATCGAAAAAAAAATCGGGAAGACTACTTGAAAATAATAAAGGATCCCTAATTTTTAAGGACATGCAGATTTTATACAAGTTGTCAATATTACATCTTAATATTTCATCTTAAATGGTTAAAAAAACATTTAAAAATCGCGAGAAGAAAGGATCGTAAATCCCTGAAAAATGGATAGGAATACACGTGAGTCTAACGATAACTAAACTGGATTAACTGCGGATAAGTGAATTTTACAGCATCAAAGGAGATAACTCTAGTTAGTATATTTTCGGAGTTATTGTGTTTCGGCATAAACAATGTAATATCAAGTAAAGTGGAGAAATATAGAATGTCAAAGGTTAGAGAACATGGGTTAAATTCACTTAAAACATTCGCGTCAACGAAAGTGAACATGGGTTGAATTTTTTATGCTTGGTCTTAATAATGATCCTACAGACTCTTAAAAAAGATAATTACAGGACCCATTCTATGCTCAGATAGCTTTTCTTACTTCTCAGAAAAGTATAAACTGTAGTGAAGAAAAAACTAAGAAGTACTCTAGTTCAACACATTCGAAGTGAAAATCAATTGTAGATTCTCAAAACCCCAAGTGTTTTGAAAAATTGAAAGATTTTGGACCAATCCGTTTGACATCATAAACAAGTTCTTCTTTAGTAAAACAAGTCTTCAAAATTTTCACTTTTTAAAAAAAAAAATCAGTCGTGAAATTTATTTGTTTGTTTGTTTGGCACCTGATCCCAGCTCTGATGTTTCGGGGGTCCGTGTTTGCTCTGCTCTTATTTTGTATTGTTTTATGGACTTTGAGATTGAATACTGTTCGTTATCTCCATATCCTTCTTTGTTTAAAAATCATTCTTAATCTACAAACATTTTGAAGATGAATTGACGCTGGAGTTCCTCTCTGCGAATGTTCTATGTAGCATGTGAAATCCAGGTTTTTGACAATCAGCTGGAATTCATATTGGACAGGTTTTTCTCCATTATAAACCGACTTGTACTTAAATTTTTTAAGAAACAGTCTTTTTTCAAAATCTATATTCATGATATAGAAAACTAGCTTTAATTGTAGCCTCCAACTCGACGTAATACATTGAGAACACGTTTAACATATTATTAACAATATTCATTTTCATTCAGATTTTGAACTTTCATAAACCAACTAAATTGTATTACAACGTTTGTTTTCCATTGTCTTTTCCGTTTTTATGTAGAACTATTCCGCAATACTTTGTACATGATGTTTACGTCTCCCATTGTATTTGATACTTGTAAGTGCAGGCTTTTTAAAAACCGGGGCATGCTTCGCAAGATAAGTAGATATTAAAGAGATCTCAAATTCATCCTTTTTAGTCAGAGTTTTGTACATTTTATGGTCATTATATGACCCTCTTAACAAATACAATGTATAACCTATCATTATATAACGTATCATTGGGTCGTATTTTGCATGACGAGTTTGATAATTGTTTCTTTGTTGGTTTGTTTAAATTTCCGTCAATTTGTTTTACTACAATTGAGACGTTATAACTTGGCAGAGGGGGTGGGGTGCATGGTTGCAAATTTAAAATTTGGGGTCGGCAATATGGCCTTCGAGAAGTGAGAAATTTTTTCGTGTTGACACTTAAATTACTGTGACAAGTCAATGTCTTATATATGATAGACCATTCTCCATGTCGGAACGTAAGGATACATCCCTTATTCAACAACTTTAGAACAATTGTTATAAACAAGTAACTACGTGTACATCAATCTTTGTCCTCTTTATAAGTTTATGAAATGTCATCAAATACGCTGAGTTATAGGTCTTATAATACTATATATAGGTTACAAGTAGATTTAGAATATCAATGAAAATTATGTTGTTAATTCAGTTGGCCGCTTTACAAAAACAACGCAAAAAATGATGCCCGATATGTAGTTTGCGCACTTCATTTGTGTATTCAATGTATTATAAAATTTATCCTTCAGGTAAGCAATCAATCAATCTGCACAGCTATATCTACTTTTTACTGTATTTGTATATCTAGGGTAACAATAATGCACAGCAAAGCCAATGAATTCATGGTAAGTCATTAATATTCTCGGTCAATGTGTATATGTAACAGATATCAATGATATAGTGATAACTCATCCTATCAGAAAAGTGCATTTAAATCAAAGCTGTACATGTGTTGTAGTTTGTTGCAGCCTCTTCCATCTTCAGTGTGTTGCTCTTGGGCTTTATAATTCCATTGATGTAGCTTCAACGTATTTTTGGCGACCTTCCAACAAAAAGGCGATTTGTCCGATGAATTTCATCAGATAACTTTTTGTCATACCTAGGGTCACTTTCTGCTTAAGTGAGGGAAGTTGACTATTGATCGAAAGTGAAATTTATTACGTTTATCATAAAGCGTGGTTGTAAGATTACTATTAAAGTCTAAATATCCATTTCATATATAACAACAACATCCCAACAACAACAAATACCGGTATATAGAAACGAAATCAACCTCCATTAAAAGTTGTAATTTCTCGGTATGTGCAATATGATATGATTGAATACCGCTTGACTTTTAAAATTTTCAATCAACGTAGGCTCAAGAAAATTCTGGCATTCATTGACATATAATAGCATACTCATTTGATTGCTGCTGGTTTTAATTTTCTGGTACGTGAAACTTAAAAATATAAAAATAGGTATACATGGGCAAGATAAAGTCTCCTTTAAGAGAATTTTTTGAATACTCAAGTATATATGATATTTAAGAAAAGGTCTCCTTTTCAGAAAGACATTTTTTGCAATGTTTAGTTTGTCTCCTTTTCAAAAAGACATTTTTTGCAATGTTTAGTTTTAAAATGATGCACTTTTCGTAACAGTTTTATCGTGAAAACTAGAATATCAATCTTCATCTGATGAAGAAATTTTAATGCCAGTTGTTTGAATTCTTGCAAATAAATAGAACTATACATAGAATGGTTTTGAGTCAAGTTCTTTTGAAATCGAGAATAAGTTTAAAGGAACCTAATGAATTTCTAAATATACGGAGATAACGAACAGTAATCAAGCTCAAAAGTACATTAAACAATACAAAATTGGAGAAGAACAAACAATAACCTTCCAAAAAATCGGAGATGGTATCAGGTGCTATGGAGGAGTGAGCATCTCTTGCCGACCAATCACACTCTCAGTGTGCTCCTTTTCATGATCGGGAATAAACGGAGAAATTTGTCGACTAGTGTGTAAACTAGTACAATGGCCTAAAATTAGAATGAAATACGTCAGTCATCGTTAAGAACATAAAGAAATGGCAAAAAACACGATTTCTTTTTAAACAAAATTCATTTTTTAAAGGATAGTCAATTGTCTTATATAACAGTATATCAAGATCAACATCATTTCAATTTTGCAAATGAACGAAATACAATTTCAAAGAACATTACTTTTCTAAACCAATAATATTATTTTCTTCATTTTTATTAATGAAATCAACTCTATTGATTTTAATTGACATCACTTGTAATTAACTAAGAATTATTCACATTTTTTATGATATAGATTGATGTTTTGAGGGGCAGTTTGATACAGTTTTGTGAATTATGCATAAGACATTACAACAATTGATTTATAAACTTCATATTATTACTGCATTGTCTGCAAACACATCACCATACTATATAGATCTGCCCTGCAAAAGAACAAGAACACAGTAAAAGGGTTTATAATTGTGATCGCCACTTTATTGTCAAAGTCTAACTTTATTTATTGCAAAAATAAAATATGAGAATAACGAACAAAAATCAAGCTCAAAATCCATCAAAACAATGAAGATTGTGACCAAATAGAACAGAAACCTCTAAAATCATCAGGGGTGAGATCGGGTGCCATAGAGAAGTAAGTATCCCTCTTCTTGTCATGATCAGAGAAATGGAAATTACTATGGACAATTCTGTGTGTAAGTAACTTCCATTCAATCCATTTTAGTATATTGTTTTACCAACCACAAAAAATAACAGAGAGTTTGCGTAGATTGTGTAGGTATTAATATAGCTCTAGAATTTATATCTCTCAACGACGGTAAATGTCGGTTAAAATTTTACATAAAAGAAAGTGTTTATTTTCTAACATTGTAGCTTAAAACTTTCCTTTAATCGTATATGTGTCGTCATTACAGGAGGTAATTAATACAAAATCGTAGGTCATCCATTTGTGGGCCCCTACGTTTAATTCCGCGTTTAGACTATCATTCACGCGTCCATGACATAAGGTCAATTCGGTTCTCTTTTTATCTTATTTTATCATTTAAACAGCCTTTTTCAAATAAAAAAAAACAATGAAGCAACCTATTAAGAGTCGACTGTTGCATAAATCTGTTCAGGATGAAGATGAAAGGAATTTAGCAAGATTATATAAATGTCCTGGAATGAGAACATCTTTTTAAAGAAATGGACTTGACATAAATATTTCTGTTATTTGAGTATTTTTATTTTGTCAAAAATGTTAAAAATCACCAATACGTATTTGTAGAGAAAAAGACATACTGCAATGGCTTGTGATTGAGTAAATTTTATTATTTTTTTTAATTACTCGAAAAAAGTATTAATAATCGAATCTAATTTTGTTTTACTAACGTGATCTTAGATGCACACAGGCAACAATTTTAATCCTTATTTCTTTCTGACCTATAACTGATGCATAGAATCCAGTTATAGAAAGGCAATCCTTGAGTATAGACACTATTTTTATAGCAATTTCCATTTTTCTATCATGTCGCGTGGGTTAGTTTTCTATGGGCGTCAATTTCAACAGTTACTCTAAAAATATGGTCTTTTTACATGCAAAATATTTCAAATTTTATAACTTCTCTATGATAATACATTAAGATAATATAAAAAATTGAGGATTAAATTGAAAGTTTATTTTAATATCTTGGAGACAGATGAAAGGGTGATTTTGAAACCCGAATCAAAGGTTAAGTTTCTCATGTATAAACTTGTCAGTTAAAGAAATACAGCATACGAGATCTCTCTCACAAGATAAAGTTTTTTTTTTGGGGGGGGGGGGGCTTCAGGACAAATAAAATTTCGACCAATTAGTAAGAATCTTTTTATTTTGTCCAGTTATGATAAAAACTAATATAAATTCTAATTCTAATGCTGTATAAAGGGTTATTTTCGCTTCGCTTTGTTTTCGCTCTTGCAAACAAATTTGTCCTGTCTAAAATTTGTCCAGTCACAGTTCTCTTTGAGAAATTGTAATGTCTTCTTTGAATTCGTACATATGAACAATTTCTAAAACTAGGTAAGATATTGACAAACACATTGATGAAAACAGAATATAAGCAGTCTCGTTTAAAGTCATCATTTTCGGACGTTCTATGGTCGATACAATGATCTTGTCAGCAAACACAATTTTTTGAGTCAAATGCTGACTGACGCTTTTATTAGTCCATTATTTATACGCTGAATTGACGACGTATTTTTCTGTTATTTCCCGATCATGACAAAGAGCACACGGCGGATGTGACCGGTCGGCAGGGGATGCTCACTCCTCCATGGCATCTGATCCCACCTCTGACGTTTCGGAGGTCCGTGTTTGCTCTGCTCCTCTTTTGTATTGTTTTATGGACTTTGATATTGAATACTGTTCGTTATCTCCATATCCTTCTCCGTCCCGTTTTATATTCGCCCAACCAAGGGTAGGGTGAAAAGGGAGAAAATAAAATGGAGGCAAAAATTTCTCTGTATACGATACTGGTATGGTTTTAAAAGATAGGGATAGAACTAGACATGGGGCAGTTCTGGAAAATATTTATTAAAGTCTCTGCTAATTATATGCTTCAAGAATTTTTCAGCAAACAGATTGTGTAATTTGAAAGATATTATGTTGAATACTGGGGAAAATATTTTGAATTAACGGTCATGTTTAGGCTATAATGAAAAATAACACTGGTGCCATATCACAATAAGAGAAACTACCCGGGAAAAATAACACAGAAAATAAAATTAATCCTTTCATAACCAGGCTGTAACCGAGCAACAGGAGATGATTAGCTCTTCATGGTACCTGATCCAGCCTCCTATGTTCTTTGAGGTCCCTGTTTACTTCCAAATGAACATTAACTTTGTAAACGTTACGTTTTAAAAATAATTGTTTTTCAATTCTTTAGGTACAAGTAATTTTTTTTAAAATAAAAATTAAGGAAACAGGTCAATTAAATACCCCTTTAAAAAATTAACCCATATGAAGAAATCTCTCTAACTAAAGGTAACAAAAATGTGGTAGACTTAATTGACCTAAACAATTAAATATACATAATCCGCATCCACAAACAATATGTTAATTAAGCGATACATCTAAAGTGCAATGATGTAATACATCATGTTTTCGATCCACGGAGAACAGCTTTCTATTTAATCTGGTGGAAACTAGAGGAAGGTAAAGTCAGATTTCTTTTCTTGTGATTTTGTTTTGAATATTACTAATATACTTATTAAAGAAAAATTCAATTCATTTTCACTTTATATTTGTCCTTTTCAACATAATTGTTTTGTGAATTTTTTTTTTAAATAAAACATTTAAAATCTCTCTATTAAGGGTTTCCTTTAGAAGTATCGTTATAACCTTTGTATAATTTGCATTATAGCTTTTAATGACGTAAAACTGACATACTTATGTGGTAAAAATACTTTTTGTTTTTTATTTCTTCTTGATTGATGCTATTGTATCTGATAAAAATAGCAACAAGTTCGAATAAGTTCAATATAAAAAGCGTCGATATTTATGATTAGTAGATAAACCTGTGGTACTAATATACTTATTAAAGAAAAATTCAATTCATTTTCACTTTATATTTGTCCTTTTCAACATAATTGTTTTGTGAATTTTTTTTTAAATAAAACAATTAAAATCTCTCTATTAAGGGTTTCCTTTAGAAGTATCGTTATAACCTTTGTATAATTTGCATTATCGCTTTTAATGACGTAAAACTGACATACTTATGTGGTAAAAAATACTTTTTGTTTTTTATTTCTTCTTGATTGATGCTATTGTATCTGATAAAAATAGCAACAAGTTCGAATAAGTTCAATATAAAAAGCGTCTATATTTATGATTAGTAGATAAACCTGTGGTTTCAAAAACATTACATTAATTTCAATGTTGATTATGATTTGTGTAATTAAAAAAAAATAATATCTTTAATGTCTCATAAAGGTATTGATATTCCAAATATATTACTTAATTATTTGAAAAAGTTAATTTATTTGTGCATATGTTTTCCATGAAAGACATTATAATTTTTGAGAACAAGAACCATGAGAACAAAGAAAATCACCCAAAATGTTCTAAAATTTATTAAAATAAAAAAAAAACAACAATCTGTTGGCAATGAACTGAATTTGTGACTTCAAAATTCAACGAAACTTAATTAATTATAAACAGGACACCACGATGTATCACCGTGTTTAACATTTATTTATCACCATATACGTAAAAGGGTTGGTCAACTACGTAAAAAGGCTTGTGGTAATCACATACCGGTACTATGAACATGGGATGATCATATGTTTATGACTTGAATTTATGTCTTAAATGATTCAGTACTTCTGTTTATGTCTTAAATTATTCAGTACTTTTAGAAACAGTGCAAGGCAATTTGTATAATGTTGATATCAATTTCAATCCATTTTCTTCAGAATAAAGTCTGTATTCACTTTACTGAGTATTTGCTTATTAATATTCATAAGTGAATCTTTATTATAACCTCAACTTAAAGTTTCAAGATCCATGTCGAGGAGTACATGGTGGATGTGACCAGTTGGCATGGTATGCTCACTCCTCCATGACACCTGATCCTAACTCTATTGTTCTAGAGGTCTTGTATTTTTTAGAATGCAACTAAGCTCACTAATCAATAAGTTTACATTAACGGAAGATTCTTACTGTCGTTATTGTTTCACGACTTAGTACATTTAAATGTTCTTCTCTAAAATACACACATAACTATTTAAAATAAAATGTCTTTCTCGAAGTGAGTTATACCGAAATTAAGTCAATTAACAAACTACAATGAAAAAAACATCGTAAATGCACAAAGAAATTAACTTCAGAAAAAGCATGTAATCTTGATACTAAAACCGTAGATACACATTTGTTTAAATTAAGCAGTGATATATTTTTGAAATTTGTCTAACGAGTGCAATATTTTTTTTTAAATTGTTTAATATTTTGCTTCGTTTTCATCTATAAACCCTATAGAGACAGACATGTGGTACTTGATTATTGCCATAGTGTTGGGATCCAGTGTAAATGTGCGGGGACAACAATCCTGTATAGCTGTAAGTCAATAGTTTATGTTATCGTCCATTGTCACTAAGTAAAGGAATTAATCGGGTGACTTCGCAATCGTTTTATGCCTAATTTTGGAGTGCCTTATATTTGATTTTATTGGTTATATTATTTTCTTTTAGATTTTCGGAGAATCGAATTGTCCACAAGGAACTAGATGTGTGAATAATGTATGTCGGCCAGGCGGTAAGTAAATGTTAGCCATACGTGGTCAAACAAATGTTAGTCAGACGGTAATATATATGACGAAACTTTGTACATTCTTACTTCTTGACACCAGAAACATAAACATATATCAAATAAAATTTTGTTGCTGTGTGTCTTGGTTGCCATAGTTACATAGGAAAAGTTTGAAAAATGAGATTTTGGCTACTGTTAATCTTCATTGGGCCTTAAAAACTACAAAAAGCAAACGACACAAAAACATGACGCCTTGTTGCCACTTATGCTCTATAGAAACTGTTTAAAATATATCTCTGAGTAAGTGGTAACCAAGGGTACATTTGAAATACTTTGAAATGCTGAAAGATGCTGAAAAATTCTCATTATACACCAATGATAGGTGATACATGATGAAATTTGATAAACAATTTAAGAAAACAATGAAAATATTTGACTTTAAGTAAATAAGTATAAACAACATTATTTTATGGTTGCCATGGTAGCACAGTGTAATCAAGCAAAATCGGTTACTTAATTAGATCGGATTAATGCTACTGTGTTGAGGAAAAACATGAAAACTCTAGACTGGCAAATATGCATTCTGAGGACCTTGCAACACTAACAATATATGAAAAAATTGGGTTTATTGCTATTTTGCGATGTGACCATAGAAACAAACTCCCAGCAATTCAAAGTGATATTTTTGTTTCCTAATTAATCAACTTACCATTTGATCAAGAAACATTATTTGACTCACCTTGAATAAAACTTATCTGATGGAACTATGAATATAAAATATTGATAAGTTTGATAAAGAAAACAACACCCGTTGCTATGGTAACCAAGAAGGAATAAATGTACGATTTTGTTAACTTTTTATCAATATCAAACCCTAAATGCTAGTTTTGGCAATCTATATATAAGGGGGGTGTATCCAAGAAAACAAATTCTTTTCCAGATTTTTTGCATATTTTTTTGCTTTTACCACAGTAACGCTCTATTCAAAAAATTTAATTTGAATTTAGGACAGGAAAGGACGGGACAAAAACTACAATTACGGGACATAAGAATAAAACCAAAATCCGTACAACCTTATTAGAATTTTATCGAGGTCGTTTATTGTCTTCACGTCTTGGTGACCTCATTGTGACTGCAGTTTAATATTTCTATGCGTGAATATACAGGAAATTGGCAGTGAAGTCTATTTCATAGATGGATTAATAAAACTGAACAAATGTAGATATCTTCTGAATCGCCTTTGTTATGAATTTATCAAATCATCATTTGATTATTTAACTCACTTTAACTAAGGTTTAATATATATTGAAATTAATAAAAATAATTTTAATATTTTTTATTTCAGGAAATACGGATTGTTCCCCGGTATGATCTTCATTAAGACAGAACAATATTTTTCCAAATTTAATCTATGTATAATTATTCAATGTTTTAATTTTTAAGTTATGAACTATTTTTCTGTAATTTTGCTTGTATCATTTATAGAAAAACTTTTGTTTTAATTCATTTAGATTAAAGAAAATTTAATCCAATTTTCTGTTAGATGTAACTTTAGTTTGAAAATGATCAAAATGATAATTTTAGAATAATCCGTGCCCTAATCCAAGAGACAGGTGTATAGGAGGTAGATGCGTGAGAGGTATGTAAATTAACTTTTATATTTACATTATTATGTAAAATAAATATGTATATTAAATGGAAATTCAAAACTTTTATAGACATGTTCGATAACATGAATTGCACCGAATTAAAAAAAAAATTACAAGTTTTATATCTTAACTGCTACTCGCTACCATTTATGTTCCTTAGTTTGTGTAACCTAGCCAGGGAGACTGAGCTCGTTTTTTGCACAGGGCAGGCGAAATAAGAACAATTGTGTTAGAATGAATAAATGTCATTTATTTTGTAAATGACGAATAACATATATACAAAACAGGGGGTCATTCATAAACATGTAACCCTTTTAATAATACATGTGGTGATGAACACATCATGACCCCCTAAAATACTACATATGAAAAAGATATTTACACAAATCAACAGATAGGGGGCCTCATGACACGAGTACCAAAAATACCTGACATGCCCCCTACAGAAACACATATGTAAAAAATAGGAATATCAATAAACTGCCTGCCCACAAAAAAGGTGGGTAGGTACAAAACTTAGGCCACAAATCCAATTAAGAATTGGATCCCCCCACCCAAAGGCTGCCTGGCCAGGATTACCAGCATTATCAAAAATCGTATGTATATGGAAAGGGGAACACAATATACATAAATTGCAACTGCATATCATATGATACCGACATTGAAAACAGGTGACAGCAGACATATTCTGACCTGCCAAATATTCAAGAACAAGAAAAATTAATCAACATTTCATTACAGAAGTCAAAGTTCTGACATGTTTTGATTACACAAGACAAATTACTGTGGACTGTGTTAAGTTCACACTACACTCAACATGATAGTCAACAAAATTTCTATGGTGTCTTATACACAAATGGACAATGTCTTATAACAGCAGACAAATTCTGAACTGTCAGTCACACACTTGGTAAACCAGCAAGGTCATATATACTTAAAAACTGATAAATTTCGCCAGAATGAAAAAATTAAAAAATTAGTACATCTTCCCATTAGGGACAAGAATTGTTGTTGCAGAAAAATTAATGTTAAATTTTTACCTATGGAAATTGGTAAGAGCAAAGAAGATGAACCACTACGAGAATAAAAAATAAAAATAGAAAATGTTCATTAATAGAATTATCTTTACAGCAGACAACTTCTGAACTGTAAACCTAATGACAGCAGACAACTTCTGAACTGTCCTTCCTAATAACTAATAAAACACTTCAGGTTTATTGGCAGCAGCCAAATGCTGACCCACCGTGTGTAATTACAGAAAGGAGCTTATATAGCAAAAAGAGGGGAAGGGGTCACCTTGTTACCTAAAAACGGAAGGAGTTGATGCGTATGTACCTACGAAAGGCGTCAGAGTTCCATCGACCTAATTTTTTAATAAGGCTTTCAGAATAGCCTAAGGAGGCTGCGTAGGAAGCTGCGCCTATTCTGAAACTATGACCGTTAAAGTTGTTTGTATCAAGCCCTATAAACTCTACTGCTGATTTTAAATGGGTGGTTACTTTTGCATAAGAAATTGGGAGAGCATCCATTGTTTGAAATAATGGGCCAGATGTGTGCTTTGAATATTGTAAGTATTCAAGTAACGCATGCACCGGACAAAATGATGAACCTTGAATAGCTTGGACAGAGAGAACCAAAGGGGTATGTTGCTTATTTGTTTTGAACTCACGCATGATGATTTGAGCTGCTGACAATGTAGGCCCTACATAGTCAAAAGTGACATCCGCGCGCTGTAAAACATGCTTGCCGCTATGTAGTGATTTTACAGCAACTTCCCCTAATCTCAAAAAGGCATGAAAAGCTAACAAAAACAGAGCCCGAAGCAGGATGCGAAGTGAATACTGAGGGACAGTGTGAGCTAGGGCATTTAATATTTTTTGTAAGATGTCCGGTGTGATAGGTAGACGTGTATCTTTTGTTGGAACAGATGACTGACAACCCCTTAAAATCTTTCTAGTAATAAAGGCCTGCGTTGGGTCATGCATATTTAAAATTTTGTGGACATAACTAATTGCAGATATATGAGATGCTATGCTGCTTGATGAGTAATTGACCGAAAACAAATGACCAATAAAGTTACACACATCTACAACTGAAACAGGAAGAGAGACAGTGGGCTTCCATGATCTTAACAATTCCCATGTACGTCTGTAAGCTTGAGCCGATGATGGAGACAAAGCAGAGGCTAGCAGCCGTTGACAAACGGTACTCAAATTTTCAAAAGTTCTACAGGGATTGCAGTCTGGTGTGTATTCAAGTGAGGAGCTACTCTGAAGGCTTCCTGAAATTGAAATCGAGAAAGTTTATCTGCTAATAAATTTTTCTTGCCCGCAATGTGCTTTGCTTTAAAGAATATATTGTATGAGAGAGATGTTAGCACAAGGCGTCTTATAAGCTTCATAAGAGTTTTTTCTTTGCAAGATTGTTTGTTGACTGCATGCACAACGGCCTCGTTATCTGACATAAACAATATTTTCTGATTAGCAAGGCTTGACCCCCAAATTTCAAGAGCAATAACGATAGGGAATAACTCCTTAATAGCTATCTGGTGATGTTCTAAATCTGGTACCACATCCCACCCATGAGCAAACCATTCTGTACCAAGAACTCCTGCAAAGCCAATAGAACCTGAAGCATCTGTATATAATAATGCTTTATCTGATGATGTAAAAAAATCTGGTAAAATTACTGATTTTCCATTTTAATTTTCAATAAAATGAGACAACATTTGCAGGTCAGCCCTAGTTTCACATGTTAGCCTGATAAAATGGGAAGGATTAGACACACCACAAGTAAGATCTATAATGCGCCTAAGAAAAGCTCTACCAGGTACGACAACTAAACAAGCAAAGTTTAATAAGCCTATCAGAGACTGTAGTTCTTTAAGGGTAATTTTCTTCCTATGCTTTACTTCCTGCAACTTATTTCGTATCTTGACAAGTTTTGTTTCAGGCAACCGACATTCCAAAACGTGGGAATCTACTTCAATGCCATAAATTGTTAAAATGGTTGTTGGGAAATGGGTTTTTTCTTTTTTAATTGGAATACCCGCCTCATTGCATATTGACAGAAACTGTTGCAAATCTAGTAAGCATTTGTTGGAATCTTTTGGACCTATGAAGAAAAAATCATCAAGCATGTGAGACATGCCTGCAGCGTCAAATTTTGTGCACATTGCCCATTGTAGACCTTTACTAAGGGATTCGAATATCTGACAAGAGCTGCTAGCTCCCATGGGCAGACATTTATCATAATAATAACAACCTTGCCATGAAAAACCAAGAAGTTTGTAATCTTTGGGGTGTATAGGTACGATCCGGAATGCATCCTGAATATCTGTTTTTGCCATGAGAGAATCCTTACCAAATTGTCTTAACAGGGCTGTGACATTGTCAATTGAATCATACTGAACAGTGGCACACTCTTGGGGGATTTGACTGTTAACAGAATTATGTTTTGGAAATGACAAATCGTGTATTACCCTAAATTTCCCTGGTTCAGATTTTGGTACCACTCCCAGGGGTGATGAAACAAAAAATTCAAATGGTGGGGATTTAAAGGGACCAGCAATTCTACCTTTCTGTATGCCTTGATCTATAAAATCATCTATGACAGATGGAAAATCGGTTGTACTTTTATGATTCCTTGAAATTGTTGGAGTTGGAAGACCTATACATCCTAGACTAAATCCCTGTCTAAAACCATCTATCAAAAATTTAAGTTTCTGTGGTTCATAACCCTCTAAGACTCTATGCAGATTTTTTGGTTTGATGGGTGTTGGGAGCTCTTGAGAAGCTTGATTTTTGAGAATCTGGGCATTTGGATTTGGGGTGGTTTGATTTGCACTGCATACAAATGTGTTTATAGGGGCAAGGGTTTCGACTGCATCGTACACCTCTGTTAAATTGGAAACAGAATTTCGTACGAAAGGGATGATTCTGTTGAGGCTTTGGACCTTGAAATTTTATAGTTGCAGCTTTGAGTCGCAATTCCTGAATGGGGTTTTGCCATGGAACGTTAACTGATTCTCTGAGTTTTCTGAACTGCTCATCATATTGTCTAAATGCATGGTCACCGTGCAAGGACTGCACTTCACGGATCATATGGCAGTATTTGAGAAGGTTAGGGGCCTCATCGGGAAATTTCTCAATAAAGATGGCTGAAAAAATGAGGAAAGCATCAGTCCACTGGCCCAGAGTGATGGGGACTTTGGTTTTTTGACCTTGATGTAAGTTAATGACCCCAGTAGAAATAGTTACTGAAAGAGGTTCATCTTTTGTGCTAAGTAGTGATTTTAAATCAATATACTCATTGTTCCAAATTTTTTGTTTCAACTTAAAAGACACTGAAGCACCTAATGGGATACCATCTTTTACCTCTATAACCTGATTGGATGACCTTGCTGGCTCACCTAAAAACAATTGATCGAGAATTGTTCCAATTCCAGCTGAAGATGCACTGCCTCCTTGGCCGGTCAGAGATACCTGAGGCTGAGTTGTTGATGTTGTAGCTATTGACTGACTCTGCTGGGATACCATTGATGATGTCACCGTGGATGGCTTGTTCACAGACTGTTGTTTTATTACGGCAGCTGCCAACTTGTCATAGTCTATGGAGGGGGTAGCGTTCGACTGTACCGTATTCACATTTGCTTTGGCATTTTCAACATTTGTCTCAGCCACCGCAGTAACATCAGCAGTACTTCCCACATTTCGCTTTTTACGAGTTTTCGACGAATTCCCCGATGTACCATCTAATTTCCGCTTAGGAGGCATGGTGGTGACCTGAGAAAATTTATGTAATGAAGTAAAATCTGTAAATATCATAAATATGTTTGCAATATACACAAGTTATGCATACGAAGTCTGAACAATGCAGCATTATTGTATGCATTAAGTATAATAATGACAACACCTAATGCAGTCAATTGACAGTCAAAATACAAGACCTGATATTTTGTACAGGTATGATACTTGCATGTCTTGAAAGAAATGACATAAATTAATTGACTACGGTTTTGGTGATTACAATTTCAATGGACAAATTGCCCCGAACTTTATATGCAAAAAGAGAAGTATGATATTAACCTGCACTTCCCGGAGCCGTACTGCATGATATTCATCTTAAAAGAATGTAAAGTATGACAATATGCATATGCAGCAGCATGAATAATATGGAAATGCATAAAGTTATGAACTTGCATAGAATATGATAAAATGAACTTGCTCTATTTATATAATGTGTTAGGGCCCACATAGAATTTAGAGCAAAGTAGTTAAGGCAAGTGCCCTGATCTGTGAGTGCATTGTTGCTAATGTAAAATGCGCATGGTCTCTCATAGAATTTAGATCAAATAATGATAAAATGATATATATCACTTGTGCGATGCTCATAATGACATATGCGTATGGTCCCGCATAGAATTAAGAGCAAATTATAATAAAATGAACATACTTATACATAAAATGTTCATGATAAATTATGCGTATGGTCCCGCATAGAAATAAGAGCAACTTATGACAAATGAACATGAACTGTTCACAATGTAAAATGCGTATGGTCCCGCATTAAATAGTTAGCTCAAATTATGGCTAAACACAGGATTTGTAACTGCACTGTTCATAGAGTAAAATGCGTATGGTCCCGCACAGAATTAAAAACAAAATATGACAAGTGCAACCACCTGTTCTATGCCATTCATAATATAAAATGTGTATGGTCCCACATTATATCACTTGTGTGATGCTCATAATGACATATGCGTATGGTCCCGCATAGAATTAAGAGCAAATTATAATAAAATGAACATACTTATACATGAAATGTTCATGATAAATTATGCGTATGGTCCCGCATAGAAATAAGAGCAACTTATGACAAATGAACATGAACTGTTCACAATGTAAAATGCGTATGGTCCCGCATTAAATAGTTAGCTCAAATTATGGCTAAACACAGGATTTGTAACTGCACTGTTCATAGAGTAAAATGCGTATGGTCCCGCACAGAATTAAAAACAAAATATGACAAGTGCCACCACCTGTTCTATGCCATTCATAATATAAAATGTGTATGGTCCCACATTTGTATTTATAAGAAGGGAGTATGACCCTGCATACTCAATTAAGTAGCCAAGCAATTTATATTGTAAAATGTGTAATAACACTTCCATATGGGTATGGTCCCACATAAGTACTAAAAGAAGCCACAACAATAAAATTTACCAAAAGAAGTTTTGCTGGGTTTTAACTTGATCAGGGAAAATGAAAGTAAAACTATACATGTGGTCCTGCATAGTCACCACTATACTGAAAAATTGTGTATGGTCCCACCAATATCAACTATTTTGTTATGCATTTTCACTTATTAAAAACCCAACAAAATACAAAGACAAGCTATATAATCAATTATTTGTATAATTAATATCATTCAAATTATACTAAATTGAAAACTTTGAAGTGCAGTATTGCTGAACAAATGCTGCGCCAATATCTGTGCTAAGACACAAAAATTACTGGTCACAAACCATATTTAGGTGTCCCCGTGACTGTTAGCAAAATCCCTTGTAGCTCTTAACACGGAAATGAAAATTGTTACCAGACATTGTAAAAATAAAATTTTTACGTAACAGACAAGCAATTTTTGACTTTTTTCCATTTAATCCATACATCATTATGAAACTGAGATTGAGAATGGTGGGAGGGTTTTTCTCACTGTTTTATTGTTAAATGAATATATGAAATGACATGTTAACTATTTATAACTTTGTAAAATGGTAATATACAATTGCATGTATTTTTTTCCTTCATATTTGACTTGTACAACATACACTGTATCAAAAAAAATTCTAAAATTTAATATGCACTTTTGCATATTTATTTTTCAGGAAACAACTCATTATGGTTACTCAAGTTTGATGATCATTTGAAAAAAAAATTCCCAACTAAATACGTATGAGCTATCTAAATATTTTCCCAACCAAATCTACGTATGAGCTACAAATATCTACTTAACCCTTGCAGAGGATTTTCACCTATTAAATAAAAACGATCATGACAGGGTTGTAATATATAAAAATTAATCAGGTATTACTGCTAAATTGGTCAAATTAAGGACATTTGTGGGGAATTGGAATGTTTACCTCTTAATTTAGATTTATTTGGCCTTATTTTTTACCAGACATGGTCCTGTGAAACTGCATTTTTTTTACCCCGTCATAAAAAGGAAGTTCAGGTCACTCCAAAATGCCTGTGGTGCCAAAAATGGACTCCTTCTAGGTCGGAACATCCTGCCTTAAGAAAATTGTTTGCGGCAACGATTTTCGCATTAAAGTCGCTGGAGGACGCCCAAGGCTGACGACGCAACAGTTGACCGACAATCACAACTGGGATATCCATCCCCTCGTGTAAATAACTTGCTATTGAAAGGATATCCGTTGATAATTTTTCCATCTCATAGCGCAAAATGTCATTTTCGCCAATCTGAATAAAACACACATGTGGTTTGTTTTTAAATTTGATAAAATCCTTTAACTGGGACACACGTAATCCTCCTCGGGCACATACCCACACATTAAAATTGTCCGAATCCAAATTTAGATTCATGAGACTTGAGTTTGAGTCCATGTAACGCTGGAGCCGAGACACAAATGAATGTCCTATTATGCAAACACTGAGACGCTTCACGTCGTCCATGTTGTGGTCCATCTCCCATTTGTAACCGGTTATAACCGGATCGCGCACTGCACGGGCGGGCCGAGCCAAAATTAACAATTAGGGTAGTGCAAAAGCGTTTGTTTACACTCACCGTTCTCTGCCAAACAAAGATATATGATCGATATAATGTCACTAGATGTTCCTTGCAGACGAAGGACGTAGGTACATCAATAAACTTCGCAAAATCTTACAAATTTCACTGCACCAAATTTGTGTGGCTTCTATCAAAATTCAATGAATGCAGCATGGCAGATTGCTGAATTATGATTGGCTAAAAGGCAAAATTTTGGGTTAGGTTAAAACTAGGCCACAAGACGTTTATACCCGTAAGACGGATATGGGTAAAATAAGTGAAAACTAAATAAACACTGCACATGTCACATAAAAGTTATTATTTATAATAATCACTAATTTGCAATATGACTGAAAACAAATTCATCATACTTTCTTCCATTTTAGACAGTTCCAATACATGCTCCCAGGTTAGTATAAAAGACACATAGTTTAATATCATACAGACAAAAATAACATTATACATGTATCTACGTTCAGGAAATAATTGAATGGCTTATAACAATTTCAGATTTATTGTAAATAACGGGGGGGTGCCACTATTTTCTGGCTTAAAAAAAGACTCTTAATTATTTGCTTTTTTTATAGTTTAATCCATGTCCAAATCCAGGAGATAGGTGTCAGAATGGAATATGCGTACCAGGTATAAACTGTTTTTGCAGCAATATTACTCAACATTCTTCATTGTTGCATGAAACTGAATGACTTTTAACAACACTAGAGATATAACAGATGCATTTGTTTCAACATTTGAATGCATAATTTTGTATGTGTTTTTGAAAATGTTTATTGACAAAACTTAAGATTAGAAAGAATTCGAAAGAATTCGGAGCTCTTTTATGCAATTGTTACACCAATTATACCTTTTAGATAGCAGTTTGATTTCCAAAAAGTTAACAATGCTTTTTGTTCATTGTAGAAAGGACGGAGTGTTCAGCGGTATGATACTTATATTCTTTTGTAATACGAACCAAAACGTTTTCTAAAATACAGAAAAATACTTCAGTGAATTGCACTCACTTTAAAGATAAATTTCCTATCTAGTACACTGATTACACTTTAATTTGATTTACTTTTATAAAAAAAAAAGTTATCAATATAAGTTATGAGGTTGGAAGGATGTTTCATTTTTAGAATATCCGTTGCCGTGATCCACGAGATATCTGTGTAGAGGGAAGGTGTATTCGAGGTATGAACCCTGAAATAGTTTGTTGTTATATTAAGCAAACAATATAGATATATTAAGAAGAATAAGAAAAAGTAATAATGTTTCATTATTTCATATTTTTGGTTAAATAAAATGTAGCTTTATGACAAGTAATGCTAAAATAATTGAAAATAAATTGTCTTATTCTAATCTAATCGTAGAATAAAATGTTGATTAAGGAAAAAAAAATACTGAACTCACAAGAAATATAAAAATATAGTCTTTATTTTTATAACTGTTTGATGGTTGTGTTGATGACCTCTTGTGTTGCATTTGTATTTAAAAATATAATAGATATTTATATAACTGACAACGTATTTTAAAAGAATAGAAACTGACACGTTAGAAATGCAGAATGAACTTTGAAAACACTCCTACATTTCGTTTCCCTTCATTTCAGATAATTCCAACGCCTGTTCTCGGGTAAGAGTAATTTTATTTCAAATCTACAAGTAAGTGTTATATATATATTCCTTCATAAACTGAGTAACTGAAAAGACTGACTCGATTCTCTTCTTTCATAACGTTTACTTTCATACTAGCACTGCACTGATTTGGGGGGAGCGGGGTATTATTTTCACTCTATTGAACAATATAACAATTCTAAATTTCATTTATTTTTAATGAGAATTATCTTAATAAATATTTTTTGAAAATATTAATATGATATTAATTTTTTGATAGTTTAATCCATGTCCAAATCCAATAGATCTGTGTCAAAATGGAATATGTGTACCAGGTATGTCTTATTTGTTTAGATTGAAAATGCTTGTTAAGAAGTAGATATTCTATCTGCATATTTATAGCGAACAAATATATAATCTAAACGTGCAAAGCTTCTAAGGGTTCATGGAAATAGAATCTTGAATGTAATTTTAATGTTCCACTAGAGATACATGTGTAACAATTTTTATTTTCTTTAATTAGCACTTTTTGGGAGAGTTTGCAAATAGCGCATAATTAAGATATATATTTAATGCTGATTTTTGCAGGTTGTTATACGTTTCTTTTACGCTTCGCGGATTATATAATGCGTAAACTTACCCAAACCAGATTATACTCGATTATTTGGCCAAGAATTAGTCATTCCTTAAATGATATATCTTTACTCAATACCCTTTGAATAGTTATTTGAAGGTACTCCTTTCATTTGCTTCTTTGATCACTTGATTGTTTCGGACATTTGATAAATTAGGTATATATTGTTTTGTACATGTATGTGATACATGCATATCTTTGTAATTGCTGTCTATCTATTCAGATTTTATATAAAGGTCTTTGAAGACTTTTTAGCATCTGTAATGATTATACTTTTCTACCATTTTAGGAATGTCGGATACATGCTCCCCGGTAATTTATTTTTAATACTTTAATAATTCTTTTAAAAGCAGAAAATTATTATAAATCTTTACTAGAATTTTAATAGTTCTTTTATTCATGCACACGTATACTAGTATCTGAAAATAATTGAATATTGTTAGCAATGACTATATCCATGGAAATATTGACCAGAATTCTGTCATACGATTTTTTCATTTTCATAGAGAAACCCATGCCGTGATCCCCGAGAAATTTGTCAAAATGGAAGATGTGTGCGAGGTATTAAATATATTTAAATTTTCAGAATACGAAAAGAATAAGGTAAAGTTTTCAATTCTCCACCAAAATAATCCTGAATACTGTATGAGGTATATACAAACATTTTTTGACAGAGTTATTCCTCTTAGACTTTGAAAAGTTCCAATTATTTTTAGTTTCTGTTCATGTTCTTCGATGAACATACACATACTTAAATAAAATTTTGCATACAGATTTTTCACAAGAATACCTAGGTCAAATTCTGTTTTGGTGACAATCGAGCCATTTTTGCATAGTTATGTCACTTGGACTTAGAAGGATTTCAATTATTTCCAGTTTCCGATCAATTTCTTTGCAGAGGTTACACCTACTGAAATAAAATTTTATATTAAGATTTTTCTTCATAATATCTGGGTCAAGTCCTGTTTTGGGTACAGTCGAGCCATTGTGGACAGAGTTCTGCCTTTGGACTTAGAAAACTTCCAATTATTTGGGGAGAAGGGGCAAAAATGTTTCACAAACATCTCTTATGTTTTCTTGTAACAGTTGATCTTTTTCTAAAAAAAAAAAAAAGGTAGAGAAAAATCGTTATACAGGCACTTTAATTTGTCTTTTCAGATTTGATACGTAGGTCTACCAAGACTTCTTAACTTTTGTACTGATTTTATTTTTTCCATTTTAGGAAATTTGGATACATGCTCCGCGGTAATTTATTTTGAATACTGTTATAATTATTTTTCATCAGAAAATAATTACAAATATTTCCAAAAGAAGAAGGTATGGTTTCCATATAAATTTTGCCCTGTGATTTTCTAAAAAAAAATGAAACTGGTTTAAAAGTTGAAAACTCATTTTAAATAATTGAAATTCAATGCAGAAAAATCATACAAGTCATTTTTCTCACACGTGTTTTTAAATGCTAATTATGACGTCATAAACATGTGCATTTTCCCGTATTTTCTTAAAAAGTTGCAGAAGACACCAATTTTCAATGGAATTTTCTTGCAGATAACATTGTCCACAGGCACCGCCCACAAAGATCTTGAGATATGTGATTTGTTATTGAATTTTGCACAAAATATCAAAAAAATAACGTGGGCGACGGCTGTGGACACTGTTTTCTAAAGGAAAATCACCCTTGAAATGTGCCATTTTGAGGCTTTTTCTGTTGAAAATAGAGAAATGCTTCACATTAATGACGTCATATTTGCAGAATGGTAAACCTTCATGCCATATTCTTTCCTGATTTATCAGAGTCATTTAATTAACTAATATTTAAGCCAGTTTCAAAACTTTTTGATGTCATTACATTTTTAGGGCGCAATAAAGCTAAAACCATACCTTCTTTTTTAATGTTTCTATTATTCATGCATTCGTATACATGTATTAGTATCTTTCAGATACTGAGGATTTTTAATTACAGTTAGTCATTGAAATATTGACCTGAATTCTGTAAGAAGATTTTTTTCATTAAAATAGAGAAACCCATGCCGTGATCCCCGAGAAAATTGTCAAAATGGAAGATGTGTGCGAGGTATGAAATGCATTTAAATTTTCAGAATATGAAAAAGAATAAACAACAGTTTTCATCTACCCAACAACATGATCCTGAAAAGTATAGGAATTCAAAAGTTTTCTTGTCTATCAAATAATAAATCAAACTAGAACCGACCTCGCTGCAAAGCAACAAGAAGGTCTTCGGTCCGATTTTCAGAAGCCATGCATGTAAGATCGTTAAATAAAAAATATTGCATTCGTTTCAAAGAAAACTTCAAATCAAAATTATTTCGATCTCTATTAAGTACTTTTATAATTGAAATATATGTTGATTTTTGTGAGGAAAAAAAAACTTTTTTTTTTTGCGACTTCTGGTTTGCGCGGTAGTGACCATTAGCAGCAGAAAAATGGATTAGAAGTATTGTGTTACGTTAATAATTTGATTTGACGTTAATATTTGCAAAAAAATAAACCATTTATGGTACTTCTGGTAAAACTGGATGTTGTCAAAAATGACGAAATTCAACAGGTAATTTAATCGGACATCAACTCTGACAAGCTAGTACAGCCCAATTCAATGCCAAATTCTGTGAAAATAAGAAATTTTCGACTACTTTCTGTTATGGCCGGAAGTGGCGTCAACGGACGTATTTTGATGATATCATCAGATGCTACTTGACATTTTGAATAACTTTGCTTCTTTGATGTTTTACACATTCTCAATATTTTTTGAGTTTGGCCCTTCTAGTTCCCTTATTTTAGGAGCCAGTCCCCTTTTAGAAATAAAATTTGAAAGATCTTGAAATTTTGCCTCTCGTTTATTCTAAATGTTTTAACAAAATATTTCCATGTTAAACGATATTGTAGAAAAGATGTAAGAAATTTTGAATTTCTCGATAAGTCAATTTTCGAGCCATAGCGAGCGTCGGCGCTTACATTTTCGGCGGCAATGGTATACACAATTCAACTTTACATAGATTGCTCTTTGTTCATTAAAAATTTCATACTTCCATGTTCAATGGTTTTTGAGAACATTGCCGAACAACGTGACCCTCTTAAAATGACAACGTTGAGGAAATCTTCGAACCGGAAGTGATGTCATCAAAATAAAAAATATTTATCTAGATTATTTGACGTTCTAACAGACCTGTAAGTTTCATGAAAATCCATCAAGCCATTTCTGAGAACTCGCGTGCACAAAATCGGTAAGGAAAAAAAAATAATGATATAGATATACAATCGAAAAGAAACCCAAAGAATAACAAGAAGGTCTTCCGCTGAATACGATTAAAAATGCATTTTGATAAATATATTTTGATCCTAATTAAGAGAGAATTGTTTTGATTTCAGTTTTTGTTTAATTTAGACTTAAATGAATAATTTTTTGATAAATAATAGTTAAAAAATAAATTATGAGACTTTTTCCTTGTAACAACTGATCTTTTAGAAAACTGTAAGGATATTCGTTATACAGGCGCATTTGTTTGGCAATTCAGATTTTCTATGTAGTTCCACCAAGACTTCTTAGCTTTTTAACTGATGTTTTTCTTTCATTTTAGGAAATTCGGATACATGCTCCCCGGTAACTTATTTTAAACACTGTAATAAATCTTCTTAGGAAAACTAATTATAAATCTTTTCTAGAATTTTAATGTTTCTATTATTAATGTTCTCGTATAGTATTATCTTCAAACAACTGAGTATTTCTGATTACAGTTAGTCATTGAAATATTGACCAGAATTCTTTAATAAGATTTTTCATTAAAATAGAGAAACCCATGCCGTGATCCCCGAGAAATTTGTCAAAATGGAAGATGTGTGCGAGGTAAATTTTCATAATGTGAAAAGAATAAACAAAAGTTTTCAGTTCTTCACTTAAACAATTCTGAATACTCTATAGGTATTCACAAAGTTTACTATAGTAATTATCTGTATAAATTATGTTAAACTTGCTCAAACCAAATGATTTGAAAAACAGTTCATTGTGAATGTCCTAAAAAAAATTATTGTACAGAAGATATTTCTGGAGATTGCAGGAAAATCTTGATATAAGCAAATTATCATCTTTTTAACCTTAATCCTGGGAAAATATTAATAAAAGTTTTTATAATTTAATACGGATTTTGTTTTTCAAATTACAGCGTTAAATATCAAGCATATTCATTAATCGATGAAATATATGGATATAACGAACAGTTTTCAAGCTCTAAAGTCCATGAAACAATACTAAATAGGAGCGGAGCAAACAAAACATCAGAGGTGGGATCAGATGCCTTGTTTGATATTGGTTGAAATTTACTCTGAAACTGAATATAAAAACAATATATCCAAAAGTCGGATTACATATACAAATTACATATACTACGATACCCTTGGGTGAAAAAAACCCAAATCATACCGTTAAAGTAATTTTAGTTATTGTACTGGAATTCTGTGTTTTTCTTAAAGTAGACTAAAATATGTATTTTTTGTTTGTTTGCAGGAGGTTTAGGTGAATGTTCATTGGTAAGTTTTAAGGAAAAGTTTTTCTTTAAAATCAGTGAATTATATCTTATAATATACGAGGGTTGTCCAAAAGTTCGTGGACAATGACGTTTTTGTGAAAATAAATGGTTCTGTATAAATCTGTTGTATATTAAAATATTTCTTATGAAAAAACAAGTCAGAATGATTTAATTTTTATTGATGTTACGTAATATTTTTGTGAAAAATCGGGGTCTTTAAAGATCGCAGATTGTGCGCACGGACCAAGGTTAAAATGACATAAAATCTGATATAAAGTGTTCGGATTTAAATGATTATTTTCCATATAAAACAAGTTAAAAATTAATAAACATCTTATGTAAAAACAAATAAAGAGGCTATAATCATTTTATGATATCTTATGTATCGCTTACTGTATTAGACAGTGCAAATACAAAAAAACCCTAACAAGTATGTGTCAAAAATCGGCAGAAAAAGCGACGTCGGCCGTCCGAACGGGGCAGCGTCCGATAAAAAAAAAGTGTTTTGATACGGTTGAAACGACGTAAGAGACAAAATATTTATTAAAACAATTCAAAATTATTGAAATATATTCAGTGTATTGATTTGAGATTGGTTTTATGCGATTTTTCAACGGTGTGTACAAATTCGAAGACACTACAAGAATTTAAAAACACATGTAATTTACTGAAAATGGAGATTTCTATTCATGACGTTGTTATAAATCTAGCGCAGCGTCGGACTGGGCTGTGCAGTTTCTGTATACAAACTGTTTATATAGATGACGCTCGTAGATTTTTGTGCATTGTTTAGAATTTTAAAAATTAAATAAATTATAATCTATACTTAAAGATTATTGCTAGCACTTGGAAGTGTGTTACGCCTTAAAAAAGAAATGCAGTGTGTGTCCATGAACATATATTAAGTCAAAATCCAAATGTCTGACGTTATAATGAAATGAGCTTAACGTCAGACTGGTCCGTGCGCACAATCTGCGATTTTTTAAAGACCCCTATTTTTTCAAAAATATTGTTTCATCAATAAAAATTAAACAATTCTGACTTGAGGTTTCAGAAGAAATAATTTGATATACAATTTATACATATAGAATTAACCATTTATTTTAACAAAAACGTCATTGTCCACGAACTTTTTGGACAACCCTCGTAGAATCTTCTCAGGTTCATGATTATCTTATTTGATATATTGATATATTTTTGGAAGAGAAACTTTTTTAAAATCTTAAAATGCAACAAGTTTTATTTTTTATTTTTATTTTTTTATTTTATTTTATTTTATTTTTTTTGCTCAGTAGGACGCATTTTTACAGGTTAATTTTCTGTCGCTATGTTTGGATTTGAAATAAGCATATCAATGGATATCTTTTCTTTTCTTTTATTTTGTAAAGAACTTACCATGCCCAAGTGTTTTTGAAAGGTGTGAAAATGGAAGATGTGTACCAGGTATGAACGAGGCATAGAAATATTTCGAGACTTAATTCGAATTCAAACTATTCACGAAATTATTTAAACTACTTTGGAAGGTATATGTATTTACGAAATTTTAAAAATAACCTTTATGATAATTTTGATGAGAGGGAAATGATCATGACAAAAAAAATAAAATAAAAATGAAGCTGGACCGAAATAAAAAATGAATTCTTAACGTTTAGAAAATAATATGTAACATTTAACCTTTTCAGCGATTCAAGGCGAAGGATGCGTAAGTATTCAAGCAGGCAGTGGAATGTAAATAATTTAAGGTCGTAATGTTAGATTATCTGTTGACGAGCAAATTTTGTTACTTAGAATTTCTTTATTTCGTTGAACTAACAAAGGATATTCCAATTTTATGTTTTTGTAATTTCGAAAGAATAGCAAACGTCCTTTACATTTCAGAGAGCATGCCGGTTTGATCCTGCCAGCACCTGTGAAAATAATCGATGTGTGAGGCAACCTGGAGGTGGGCCTTTATTTTGTTTTTATTTAATTGTATGTGTTTGAAAATCAATAAGGTTTTTAAAATTTATTAGGAATATAAAAAAAATTCTTTTCTTCATTTTTATTAAAAAAAGCTTCTTGTCAACTTCGAGGAGGTACACCTTGTTCAGCCGGGCACACATGCATAGGAGGGATCTGCTCCAGAAGTATGTATCACATAAGATAAATTGCCAAATCAACAATCAAATTTCTTAATTAAAAATTTTTCAAAAGTATGCTTGTGCATAATATTTACAATATTTCCAGTTTAAAATCCATTTCATGATTTGGTATTTTTTACTTTAAAAAAAGATACTGACAAATAAATTGATGGTACATGGATTAAAATGGCTTTGTTAAAATCATCAGCATTTCATAAATTCTCCGCTCGGTATGACCTTATTTGCTCTGCTCCTGGTCTGTTTTGTTTCAATTGACTTTTGAGATTTACTTCTGTCTGACATCGCCATCATTCACTGTAATTTTAAAAATTTTAGATAAGACTGGTTTTTTTACTGATAAAATTTCCATAATAGATTAGTCTCTTTCACATATCCTACAAACAGATTAATTTGTTATTCTTCCTTTCAGGTACACAAGGTGGATGTGTGAGTAATTTTCAAAAATGAAATCAATGTTTACGTAATGTAATGATTGGCTTATGCTTTAAGATCAGTTTCACTTATTACATAATTATAATGTTTTAAACTGCTCAATTACTCCTATTTTTTAAAATATGCAATATTTTTAAAATCTCCATTTACACTGTACCTAATCACCAATTTCGTGGACACATGTGTCCTTTAATGTTTAGTTGGTAATTTTCATAAGGTTTAAGTAAGAGGGAAGAAGGCTGCATATAATTAAACATTCTTATGGAAAATAATATTGTAGAATCCACGCCAGTGTGAGTCTATTCGTGGTAGCTTTTGTGAAAGAAATGAGTGCGTGCGACAACCAGGAGGTATACACTTCGTATTTCCAATATTATTATCAAAAAAACTTTATTTGTTACATACAGTTGTATTGATCTACTGTCTTTTTAATTTCATTCCTAACAGCAAGCTGCCAACGGGGATCAAACTCCCAGCCATGTTCATCTGGGTATAGATGTAGAAATGGAGTCTGTACCAGAGGTAAATAATCAGTTGTAGCAGTCAGTGAAATCTACTTAGACAGTGTTAGACAGACTGTGAAGTTCTCTTTCAGATTGATTTTGTTATATTGTGCACCTTTCCTGAATCAAGTTTATAGATAATATAGCTTAAATTATTTTTGTTTATTTTTTTAAACATATTAAATTTACATCATTTTTATGTTTGTTCAAAAATCCTGGAAATGTAGGCTTATTTTGTCAAAGAACATCTGAAGAAAATTTTAAATTGATAATGTGTTGCAAATTCTAAAAAAAAAATGATAATTCAAAAATCTTATGTATACTGAAAATAAGGACTTTTAAAGGCAAGCAATGGAAAAAATAAAGTCTCCTTTTCATATGACCACATTCTAACACAACCACGTAAGACAGGCTGCTGATGCGGCCGATGATGATCTTAACGAATTCTAGCAGTTTGTGAAATTTCAAAAAATGAAGGGGTTGGGGACTCGAATTTGAAAAATCTTTTATTTTTTCAATGTAGGATCATGGTAAATCATAAAAGTTAGAAAGAGGGTACAAAAGGTGATCAGAGATTTACATAAGAATGTAAAGAAAGAAAAAATAAAAGTTTTTTCTTAAGAAAAGGAAGACCATATATAGATTAGTTACCTTTCATTTTATCTTATTGGAATGCAAATTTCATACCATGATATTTAAATTATAGACAATAGAATTGGATATTACTGTAAAATATTTGTTTTGAATATCAACATACTCAAGGAATGCAAGTCACCCTGGGTTTTGTGTTTCATTATCAATAATTTTCAATGAATTAATGGATGCACAAGATGTTCTTTATATTTTTTTTCAACAGTATTTCATGTTCATTTGCTGTACATTTAATGTATTTTTAAATCTAGCACACGCAATGCGTCCTTCAAGTATAAAAGAAGGCCAAGTCACACGCATCATACAGATAAATAAAACACTCAAATAAATGAAGATAATTTTTTAATCAGAATTTTTTTTAAACATCTAAAAAAAAGATTATGATTGTTGATAAATTATTTTTCTAATATTTTATTTTTTTTTTAGGTTCACAAACCGGCGGTTGTGTAAGTATTTCAGACTTAAAGACTTTTACACCCTCACAATTTTAATGGTTCAAAGTACACAAACTGCATTTGTTTTGATTTAATATAGTTTAAACTTAACAATTATTGCAAAAAAAATGTATAGCTTGCCATAATACTAGTATTTGATATGGGAGACATGAATAAACAGACGTGCATGTCAACAACAAAAAATCGTACATTTTTTGTAAATAATATTATAGAAATTATGTTAAAAACTTGTTCAACTGAATGATACTTTTGAATTATGAATATCAGGGGAAATATTTTACATTTGAAGTACAATAAAGAAATTGCCTGAATGAAGGTACCTGAGAAGGAGTTGTTGCCCATGTCAACATTTTTTCAAATTGAATAATAAATAAAGAAAATGTTTATTTTAAAAATGCTTTAACTTATCATTATTTATCATTACACCTATTTAAAAGCATTCTTCCAAAAGATATTGTTCTATTGGGCGTGAATTTAAATTATTATAATAACAGTTTTTGCAAAAACCTATGACATCACAGGAAGATGGAAATACCTTAAAATTAAACTTCTCGTATCATTGATCTGCACGGGTTATTAGCAGACCGTTAATGTTCTAATTATCTCCCGTACCGTATGTTGTAGCTTGATTGTGGGTTTACCGGAAGTATTTGCGAGAATGACCGATGTGTGAGACCACCTGGCGGTATGAATTCATTTAAGGAATGCAGCTTATTTCAACTTTTGTTATACGATATAACATAACTTGGGGCAGTTTATGCTTTATAAACCGCGAAGAGTAAACTGTCCCAAGTTATGTTATATCGTATAACATAAGTTGAAATAAGCTTCATTCCTTATAATTTAATTTCAATGTAAACAATGATACAATTTTTTTCATTTTTTCCTTCGGAAAAATTTTTCAAATATAGCATATTTCAAAAGTTAACGTCTAGCGGAGTAATACGTTTTTGACGTAACTCATTGTGACGTATGCAAGTTATGTTATACAAAATGGATAAAACCGTTTAACCAATCAAATTAAGTGTTACAACTGAAATTAAATTATTTTTCAATGATTGGATAAGGATTACAATATAATATATTTTGTTGAATAAGATATATTTTGTGCACAGTATTATAACGCTGAAAACCCCCAATGTAATTCAGAGGAAAAATTTATTTTTTGTCGAATAATGAAACATCTATTTCAAATATGAATAACCGAAATTAATAAACTTTCTCACTTGTTTTTAACAGCAACATGTGGAGGCCTCCTTACAGAACCTTGTTCAGCTGGATTTGTTTGCAGGGAAGGCTTCTGTTCCAATGGTCAGTTTCAATACATATAGATGAAAATCTAGTATTTACTTAGTATTTTCAGCGAAAGTTTTCTAAATCACCAAAAAAACCATCATGGATAGAGAGATGAATTTAAAGCAAACAATATTTTACCCATTGAAAACATTGAACATTTGCTCAAAAAGAATTCAGTAAAAGAATGATAATGACAAAATGAAGAAAAATGTGTAAATGTGGTTTTTTTTCTATCGTTATTATTAAAGTAAGAGATAGTATAGAGAGGTGAAAATCTTGAAGATTCTGATTCTTCTGAGTTATTTGAACATTTTGATATTCTAAAATACATGTAGGCTACATATGAAGATTTATTTCTGGTCCAGTGTTTCTTCAGAGGAAGGTTGTTCAATGAAACAACTAAATTTTTATTTTTTTTCTTCATAAACAAACATGAATTATCTTTATCCAAGAAATCTCTGCTGCAAGATTGGTTTTGTTTGGTTTGGCAGTTCTGCAGAAAAAGTTGAAAATGTCAATTTTAACGACGAATGACACACAATAATGAGATGAAAAGAAAGACGGACAGAGCACACCTGAGTCTTTGGCTCAGGTGAGCTATAGTAAAAAATGTTAATGAAATAATTATTCCTACCTTTCTTTCAGGAATTGTGGATTATCCAGCCTGCATAAGCGTATGTACCCATTTTGGAAATTACTATCCATTAATTTAAACATTCCATATTATTTTAACTGTAGATAAACAGAATACAATTCCTAAGATCTTAAGAAGAAGTGTTTACTTTATATTGAATATCTTTTCACTATAATTATAGACTCAAAACTGTCGACCCAATGAACGTTGTCGAGGAGGGACCTGTGTTCCAGGTATATATATGAGAGAGAGAGAGAGAGAGAGAGAGAGAGAATAATTGAAAAAGATAATATATTATGTAATAGGAAATTATATTAGGATGCTTTCGAAAAAACTCATTTTCTGTACTATTAGGCTTGTTCGTAAAATTTTGATATTTTATGCGATAAAGGCGTAACACTACTTGGTTCATTTATTTTGTTCCATATTTTCAGATGACATCATTTCAACACAGTGTAATTCAGTAAGTATCGCAGTCTTAATGTATTCTGGAAAAGTAGCCTATATTACAGTAGCCAATAAATGTGTACCATTATCTTATTTCATCTTTGAATCACTTGGCGGTATCGCAGAACTACCACATTTAATATATCTCTGATTATTTTTTATTAATTCAAGTTTGGAGCATTATCTATATTAACCAGCAAATGAAACATCTTGTTATGTCAGCAGCTTAGTCACTACACTATATCATACTAATTGCAAACGTTTAATTAAGAATCAATTCTAAAAGAACTAGTTTTGTCTGTTGTCAATATGATTGCTGTGACTTTTTTTTAAATCAAATGTTTAATCGCGATTATTTTTTTTACAGAACAAAGACTGTAGGACTGGGTTCCGATGTGAAAATTATATCTGTGTTCCCGGTAGGTGCTGTATAATAACAAACAGGTTTTATTTTGTGTTTTCTTATTTCTTATTTGGCAAACAATTACTTTAAAAAGAATTTTCAATACAAACATACATTTTTGGTCAGTGGAAGAAATAATTAATCCTCTTGATTTTCTCAGTTATTATCTTTTGTATTTTTAAGTTAACATTTGATAGAAATAATATATTTGACTGTGACGAACAATTGATATACCGGTATATATTTTTAGATGGAAATCAACCTCAGCGATGTTCAAATGTAAGTAGATAATAATTAATCAGTTATATTTGATATGTTTTAAGTACTGTAATTTAATATCAAATATAATGTCAAAATGATGGTTTCATTTAGGTTTGTTTTGTTAGTTCTTTCATTTAAAAATTCAAGGTGAAAATTTTGGTAAATTATGTCTCCCTGCACTAATCCTTTGTTCATTCTACATAGTTTATGAATTCATATTGTGACAACTGATGCTCTTTTATTTGTTAGTCGAATCCATGTCCCGTTGGACAACGCTGCAGGCAAGGAACTTGTATCAGAGGTAATTATTAGTTTTATTAACATAATATTGACGAAAAAGAAAGTTAATTAAGAAGACAAATATAGCTTTTTTTTGTCATTTTAATAGACATAATTCACATCTCGAATTACAATTATTTTAATCAAGACTTTTTTGTGGTCGGAAAATGATAGCTTCACAATATATTTTTGCTAGTTTGTTCATTGAAATGCTTTGAAACAAATCTTTTTGTTAGCGTATCTTTCACTGAATAAGTGAAATATATATATATATTTGAAGCGTGAAAATAATAATAATTATGATTTTTAAAAAAACATGTATCATAAAAAATCAGCCGTAAAGAAAAACGGTCTTGATTCATGAATTTGATTCACGAAATTAATCTAATACAATTTTTAGCTTTATCTTCATTTTATGTGATACCGGTATTAAATGAAAAGACTGGGCTTTTTTTTGGCATCTGATTAGTAAGAATTCTAGAATGTGAATAGTCAGCATGATTAACTAGTCAATTTTTCATTTACTGTATATTTTGTTTTGAGCCCAGCTACTGTAGATCATTAAATGTTCGCGACACCTTATTTTCGCGAGATTGTCATTGACTCTTTGTAAGCGAGACATAATTTTCACGAAAGTTGTTATTTCTCTATATAATCGTAAGGAATATTTTTATACGCGAGAATAAAATTTTCGCAAACGCATTGTCTCGCGTAATTACGCGAAAATTAAGTTCTCGCGAATTAAAAGTGATTTACAGTAACTTATTGTTACTTAAGTCTATGTGATATGTTAATGTTACCTCTAGTTTTAGTCATTTGTTAGTTACAATAAATGACATTTTTAGTCAATAGTTTTTTTTCTTAATACTATACACAAGAGGTTAAACAAAAACACATTACAGCAAACATTTCTGGATATTAAAATTAGTTACTTTTCAGTGTATAACTATCCATCAAAGTCTAAAATTATCTAAGTGACGTTTAAATTTATACTCATTTTTTTCTGTTGTAGACCCGACATCCTGTAGTGCGGTAAGAAATAAAGATTTTATGCTCTTTCACATGAAAACACTGTACATGTTATACATGCAATTCTTAGATATACTGAACAATTACTTACTTGGTTTGTTGGTATTCATGTAGTCTTAAAGTATGATTTCGCCTGTTGTTCTAGTGGAGGCCTTGTCCAGGAGGACAGATTTGTAGAAATGGTCGATGTGAAACTGGTAAGTACTGATTAGTCGTATAATTATTGACAACGAATTTTGTTTAGGTATTGGAATGAAATGTGTCGAACAAATGAGTATATGCTCAAAACGCATGTGAAAAACATATATTGTATGATGTTATTATACATGTAGATATTTTGACACGTCAGTTTTTTTTAAAAATTATGTTGTGACTAATGGAGTCTATGTTACACACTATGATACTGGATGTTTTTTGTACGCAGATGCCAAAAAACGCGAATTTAGGTTTGCTTTTGAGATAGGTAATTTTTAAGCATAAAAATATTACAAATCTACGAATGATATGAAAAAAGAAAGATCTAGTCATAGTACTATTTTACAATAAAATGTTATCTAAGGATTTCTTACAAAAAGTACTACATTTTTAGTACGTATTTATTAAATATCTGTCTTGTTTTAGAAAAGATAACTCTACTTTTGGTACTTTGCTATCTTCCATTAATAAAGAGTAACAACCGTATGAAATATTTTATTCTCATGGGGTTTTTTTTTTTGGTCTTATCTCAATCTTCTGTTGCTAGATTCCTTTATCTAAAAAAAATCAACTTTGTAAAAAGTGTGCTTATTTCTTTAAGTAAACTTTTTTTTAAACAAACAAAGTAAAATAATAATTTCATTCTATTGTTGAAATATTTTTTTTTCCAGGTCAAAGTGTTCGGTGTGATCCTGTCAATGGCGTAAGTAGATCTGTTTTATAAGCATTTCATTAGGTTTCGTTAAAAAGTACAGGTATATTACGAATAGTAAAATCGTTTTGATAAAAGTAAATTGAAGACGTTTCATTGTACTTCAATATTAAATTTTATACATTCCTTACGATATATTAAAAGAATAAGACTTTTCTTGGCATTATTTAATTGAACTTGAAGATTTCTTCACTTTTATTCAATGTAGCCCTTTTGTGAGCGAGGTTACAGATGTAGGAATTCACAATGTGTACGCAGTGGTATGTACATGTATTCATACTTAGAATATACTTGAATAAATTGAATGACTTCAAAACTTTAAGCTGGTTTGCTTTTCCCAACTTACATGAAAGCAAACTAATGCTAGTGGCAATAACAGAGTACTAATGATTTGTTTTTAAAACATGTTTCAGGGTTACAATAGATTCTTGATATTAGAAAATTAGTTCATGCAGGCCTAGTCAGTTTACTGAAAGCATCACATTCCGCTCGAAATCGTCCTCTCATTGCAGATTCTTTAAAAAAAGTTATAAGAATAAAATAAATAAAATTTCTTAATCTTAAATTAGATGCTTAAAGATGCTACTTTTAAACTTTTTTTTCGTCAGAGGCATATACATATTGATATTTGTGCTTTTTCATATCATTATCTCAGTTTATTCGATACATATGAGCATGCTCTACGCAAGAACAATTTCTAAAACGAGGTAAATTATTGACAAACAAGCTGATGCAACAAGAATATCAGCAGTCTCGTATAAAGTCATCATTTCGTAAGTTCTTTGGTCGATACAATGACCTTGTAAGCAAATACAATTAATGATTGAGTCAAATGCTGACTTACGTTTTTCATACTAATTGTTAGTTCATTATTTATACACTGAATTGAGGACAGATTTTCCCGTTATTCCCCGATCATAAAAGGAGCACACGTCGGGTGTGAATGGTCGGCAGGGGATGCTTACTCCTCCATGGCACCTCTGATGTGTTAGAGATCTGTGTTTGCTCTGCTCCTATTTTGTATTGTTTTATGGACTTTGATTTTGAATACTGTTCGTAATCTCCATATCCTTCATCCTAAATCTTTCATTAGAAACAATATAAATATGCTTATTCTGCGTTTTTTTTTTAAATTATCAGTTAATTGACATGTATATGTGTACGATTGTGTGTATTTGTTTCTATAAAGTATTTACTCTCCTTACTATGATATCCATCATGTTAATATCTGTTCTGTTTGTCTTTTACAATCAAGACTTGGCAGAATGTAATAGTCAGGTAAGTGTACATTTCTTTGTAAAAATATAAAAATCATCATATTGCAATCACGATAAAATGAAAGTAAATGGAACTGTAAATAAAAGATATTATATTCTATAATGTCAGGAAAGCATTATCCACTCTTTAAGTTATGTTAAACATTCCAAAATTATATTATCGATTCACCAAATTATATTTTAAAATATTAATATACATTCATCAAATTATAGTTGGAATATTTAGACAGTTCAAAGTTTCTGAAGTTTTAAGAATTATTTTCTCACTTAAAATTTCTGTTTATAGAGACCGTGTCAACGGGGATACCAGTGTCGTATGGGAAACTGTGTCAGACGTGAGTTGGTATAATAGAGTCATGTTCATAATTAGATTACATACATTCTGTGTATTTAAAATTTAACGTTTTGAAAATTTTTGTTGTTATTGTTGCTCATATAAATGAATTATCATATTATATAAACGTAAAATTAATTTTCACACAAGCTTTAATACCATGGTATAAATTTTCCCTTTATCAATATGAAATTTAAGATTTCGTCTGTCTTTTTTTTTCTCCTTGAGGCGAAAACGTTATTGATACAGAGAATGCAAGATCAGTAAATTCTGTATATAAACAATAAAAAATCACCTAAGGTCTAAATGATGTTTAATAGATTGTTACCTAAAATTAAGCAGTTTCATTTTTTTTTCTGAAATTCCTAGTTCCAAAAAGGCCAAAAGTGAGCCTTGTTCCTTTAAGGTGTCATAATAATGCATCAAATCTTCATCATTTTACCAGTATAATGTGTCTTTTTCCTTTTTCAGAAGTGACATCTCCATCTCCATATCCATCTACGACTAGATGTCAATATGTAAGCTATTCATTTTTTGTACAATATTGTTGCATAATTAATTTAGCATTTTAGGAACAGTTAAAGTATTAATTATTTTATATTATGTTTTCCAGAATAGAGAGTGTCCCGCTGGTCACGAATGTATAGGAAGTGGCGCACAGGCAGTCTGTATTTCAGGTTAGTGAAAATGACAAGGCGCCCACGGATAAAGATTCCGTATTTATGCACCTCTTTTGACCATATTTTTTGTGATTTTAAGAAATTTTGATATACAAGAATTATTTTTTTATGTGATTTTTAGGTTATTTAAATTCAAAAGAATTATTTTACTTTAAAACGGGAACGAAATAGAAATATTTTAATATCTTATTAAATTGCAAATAATTACAAAATTTGAAAAGGGCAGAAATCGCGGAACTTTTCACATCTATCTTTTTTTTGTACACGGATAACTACTGAAATAAATAATTTTCTGTTTTTGTGATATTAGAGATGTTATAACATTTTTATTATTTACAGTGATTGTCTGAGCACTGAATGGAGTTCCAGTGCACAGTATCAGGAGTAATGGATTGGTCACTCATCAACGAGATTGAACTGTGTTGTACTTGTATACTGTGATCATAGAGAAAATAAATACATATATATAATGTTCTCGTCAACTTATTTAAAAAGTTACGGTACCTTAATTCAACAGATTTATTTTTTTTTATTAAATTGTGTCAATGTACGTTTTGGTGTTCATAAAGTATTGAAAATGCATATAGTTCCTACTCTGTATTCTAACGTGCGATGACAAGGTTTCGCGTGTGTTATAGAGATTTGAACGTCATGGATTTTTAATGGATTTCATGAAGAAAATTACACTGAATGTAAATATACGAAAATGGTATTCAAATCAATTTCACAGCTGGCTTCGTAGAAAAACACAGCGAATGTAAATATTTATAGTTATATCCCTTTGTATACATGTGTTATATTCCTTCCTTCAATATTTGAACATTTCTTAATATCACAAAAAGGAATATTTGGTGATTTTTTCTTTTAATTTGACATTGCTGCGGTAAGTTTGGAGAAAAATATAGGAAGGTAATCAGAATATAAAATGGACAAGGCAATGTGGAGAAAAAGGCTGCATTCTCTAGTATAAGGGGAATTTGAAAAATTAAATTGAATATTTATATCTTTAAAGCTTCGCAATAATGATTTATCCTTATGGAAAGGAAATACTTTTTTCATAGTTTATAATTCAACACAAAAGAAAGTTATCAAGAAGTCATTCTTCTCAGTTTATTGCATAAAAACCAGTATGATTGATATTAAATAACGTTTTTATCACACAAAATGAGATTGATTGTCTCACTCAATCCACTCACAAATATTTACATTCAATACAAAAAATATATATGAAAGTAGAATAATGTAAATGCACTAGCTATTAAAGGAAATTTAATACATAAATCCTCGAGAGTCTCAGAAATTAAATTGTCCGAATCTTTTGTCTGCTTATCGTTTTCCGTATAGGTATCCACTGGACGAATCCATTCCTAGTCGTCCAAAGCGTTTATTGTATAAGAAACCACGTGATCCTTTGACACCAAGTCTCCAAAAGCGCTTTTCTTTTTCATCGTCCCGTTTTCCATAAAGGTACCCACTGGATCCGCCTAATCCTAATCTTCCGAACCTTTTGTCCATCTCGTCTCTTTTCCCATAGAGATAGCCAGTTGATCCGCCTATTCCTAAACTTTTATATCTCTTATCCATATCTCTTTTACCGTATAAATATCCTCTTGATCCGCCTATGCCGTAGCGGCTGTAGCGCTTATCATCGCTTCGTTTTGCGTAAAGAAAACCGCGGGATCCACCAAATCCTAAACGTCCATATCTCTTATCAACATCTCGTTTGCCGTATAAGTATCCACGAGATCCGCCCATTGACAGTGTTCCAAACCTCTTATCCATTTCCTCACTCTCTTCCGGTGTTAATTCTCTTTCTGAATCTTCAGGATTATCCTGCAGAACACTTTCATCGAGATTGTTGATGCTGTATGCCTGCTTTAAGCAATCTTCAGTATTTTTTGTACAGATTTGACAGAACTGAAATGCTTTGTCCTCACCACAGCAGTCTGTTAACTTGACGGCGATCACCTGTGGAAGTCTTGAGCAGGCGATACACGTTTGAGCGATGTCTAGGTCTGCGTCACAGCGCGTGCCCTCTCCGGTATCACTGACGGGGATTGGGCTCTCCTTGTCGGCTGCGGAGAAACAAATCAGCCCGAGAAAAACTAGCAGCAGCATCTAAATAAAAAGATGAAAATGTTAGATACAAATTCATGCATGTATTGTATCTGAATGCTATCTCATATGAAATTGTACGCATTAAGTATTATTCTTCAAGAATACACTCTACTAATATATACATATTTTATGTTTTAAAAAAAAGACATGTTCCGGAATGCACCTTTTACTATCTAGTAGTCATTTAATAACTATATGGCAACAAAGCTCTTGACAAATCGCAAGCAAAGATCATAAAAATCACAATCAACTTATTTATGACCACCTTGTATTGTATCATTTAGAGACAAGAGATCTCAAGTGGTTCTAATGATAGGCCAAGCCGAGTTCATTTCTGCAGCTAAATAATATGTGACCAAATGGCCTCTCACAGACTTTATATTACGCATTGACATATGTTATATACAATTATCAATCTCAAGTTAACAAGGCCAATGATCCTAATAGGGACTTAGTATTTCCCATTCTATCAGCATCACTGTGATCAGTGATGTATATTTGAATATCTCTAGATCTTTACTTAACAAAGCCTAATCGGACCTCTGAATTCCCTGTTAGCTGAACGTGTTGATGAATTTGACCCGAAGAAGCACTAGGAAATTACATTCCCGTACTCCAGAGCGATCTTATCCCACCAATAGGACAGAATAGACCCGTGTTTGTTAGATATGAAAGCGATTGAAATGGGAGATAGCCTCTCTAAGTGGAGACGATATCAAATAAATAGGATGTCCGAAACTGTTTGTAATGAAGAGTGAGTCAACATTTTAATGGATGCAATAAGAGGTTTTTAATTATTGGATTTTATCTCAGCTTAGTTTAATGAAAAAGGTCTACACTGACTATGCAAACAAACATCAGATTTGCATAAATCAATACATGTACTCTAATGTCGTAATGATTACAAATATAATATACTTTAGAAATGAGGGGGAGAGGTTTTGATATAGAAGTAAAGTTTCCTTAATATTTTTAAACATACGAATTCTATGTTTGTATTCTCTCTCTCTCTCTTATCATTTTAAAAGCCTTTTCCATAAGTCTTTTTTAATTACGCATATATATATTCTTCACAACATTGGAATGATATTTCAAACTGGACAATTATTTTGCCAGAAAAGGGAATTATTTCAGAGCCAGAACGAAAGCCCAAAATAATCTTTCATGTGCCAATTAATTTTAATATTAACTAGAGAATACAAGAAAGGGAATTCTTAAGATCTGTTTTAACCAACAGCAGATTTCAAGAAAACATATTTCCAACAAAACGTAATCTTCTATCCTTGTGGGGGTATACTAGTAATATAGAATCAATTCGCAATAAAAGACACCACAAACTCTACCACATCTGTTTCATATGGATGTATAACTGACTCTAGAAGATAATGGCCAATTAAGAACCAAACAATGTTATAAACTGAAGGAGACGACTTTGTCCTTTACATCTTTAACGTCTCTAAGTTATTTTTTTAACATTCAGATATCACCAGAATAAAGTGTTCACGTCTCCCAGCTAATTCGAAAGGAAAAACCATGCTCTGAATAGGATTGATTATTATCAAAACTGATGCAGGCCACTGACAAATGGGTTAATGCTATGGGGCATTCAACAAATTGGTGTATATAATTGCCTTATTAACAAATATAAGCAATAAACTTAGATATTTTTTTAAACACTAATTTGACTAATGATTGCTTGATTGAACTGAATAACACAGAAGGATCGGGGCAACACGGGGTTTTTACTCGAGCAACTGATTTCACCTCTGCTATTTTAAGGGGTCCATGCTTTTGCTCTGTTTACTATTTGAATTGTTTAGAGGGATTTGTGCTGATTACTCTTTTCTGTCTTCAACCCTTTCATGTCAAAAAAATAGTCTCAATTATCGTTATCAAAATATCTTTGTAATTCTAAGTTACATCTAAAAATCCGATTCTCATTAAAAGGAACAATTACATCTTAGTTTCTCTGAAATAAGTAATGTAGAGGAGAGTTTATTTGATAGACAGTATACCATGCATAAAAATACACATTTCCATTTATTAATACTGATATTTGTTGGGGTTGAATTTAAATAGATGTATCTTTTTATTCCTTTCACTAACCATAATGTTTGATTGAATCTTTAGATGAAAGATAATTCAGGACAATTTGTATGTTAAATTGCTAATAGCTTGTTTGTTCCAGAATTCCTGGTGATTAGCTTTTTGTTTATAATTTGTTTGATTTCCATATTTTATCTTTTTTGTAGATAAACAAAATCCATTCCCATAAAATGGCATTTTACCAGTTCAACTATCAAAGAAAAACTTAAATATGAGATGAAAGAGAAACATAAAAGTGACTACCTTTCCTTAATTCTGTTAAAATCATCTTTGCGTGAACTTTTACCATTCTGTCCATCTCCTATATTTTTCTTTTATCAATCAGTAACAAAAAAAAGATTTTTTTCAAAGAAAGCAAAACAAAACAAAATAAAAAAAAACTAATGCTACTCATTATTCTTTGTTTAGTGGCAATTATTAAAATACCAAATTAGTGCACATGTCCTCATTGTCCTTAAGACAAAGGTGAAGATGATGAACAGCGAGGGATTTCATTATACGCAGAAACTGAGAACATGGCAGACAAACACAGACCCGTGAAAAATTTCAGAGTTGAGATCAGGTACCAAGAAGGAATAAGCATGACATCTTTCATTGGCTCTATAAAATGCTTTGGTGAACGAAATAATAGGTTGTCATATTTTTAAAAAAAAACATCATAACAAAAGGTTTGAAATAATTTTTAGTTGTTTTTGCAAACAAGGTCATTAAAACGACCAAAGAATTAACTGACAAAAACGAAATAAATAGAAAAAGGTTGAAAAAAATAAGTATCAATTCTGTTTTAAATGAATATTATCTAACAGGCAAATCTTTTGATTAAGCCTTAAATCAGAAGAAGTTTATTTCCTCGTGAATAGTAATAGGATTCGAAAGAATACTTTGCGGTCCGAGTGTCTAGTTTTTATGACCATGGTTCCTTTGAATTTCAAAGATTCCTATCAACGATTTCATTTCCTGTTCTTTTTTATCAAAAGCAATCAATATTTCAGGAATTAGACGACTGTGGGTGATGTGTACTTTTCTCTTATGAATATTTACCTGACCGTTCAACGTGTCGTTATCATTTCATTTGATGAAAATTTTGTATTTTCAACTCCCTGAAATGGTATTGATTAACGCTTTCATTATTTAAAAAAATAGAATATAAGCTGTCAACAAGAGGCCCAGGGGCCACAGGGCTCACCTGAGCACATCGGCTAGGAAAAAGCACATATCAGATCAGAACTGAAAGTTTACTGAGGTGATGGTGGAGGGAGGGGGGGGGGGCTTGAATTTTAACCCCCCAGGGGTTCATGATTTGAACTAGAATCTACACTACCTTAGGATGATTCCATATAAATATCACTAATCATGGCTTTGAAGTA